GCAGTACTGAATGCCTAGATAGCACAAAGACGTTGGGTCAACGTCGCTATCGGTGACCATTGGTTCTCAAGGTTGCAGTTGGCAAATTATTCATGTGGCCTGTCGTTGGCTGCCCAGGGAGCCAACAATGGCTGTATAAAAAAGTAAATCGTGTCAACAGTGGGCCAACGTTGGTTCTGTGGTGGCTGCCAATGTTGGACCAACGTTGGCTGACGTGGTTAGCCCACCGTCGCTATGTCCATTGGCCCAACGTTGGCCCACCGAAAGAAAATATGGTTGGCCCAACAATGGACCAACGTAGCTTGAAATCGTGTCGGACCAACGTTGGGCCAATGGACATAGCGACGGTGGACCAACGTTGGACCGATGGACATAGCGACGGTGGGCCAACCACAACAGCCAACGTTGGACCAACATATACGTAATCGTTGGGCCAAAGTTGGCCCAACTGTTGACCAACGTTGGGCCAACCAGTTTTGACCGCCAATGCGCCAACATCCCTCTTAACATTGTCGGACCAACTGTTGACCAACGTCGGGCCAACCAGTCTTCTTACTATTAGTGGGCCAACTATGGGCCAACGTAGCTTGAAATCGTGTTGGGCCAACAATGGACCAACGTTGGGCCAATGAACATAGCGACGGTGGACCAACGTTGGACCGATGGACATAGCGACGGTGGGCCAACCACGACAGCCAACGTTGGGCCAACAGATACGTAGTTGTTGGGCCAACGTTGGCCCATCAGAGTTGTGCTATCTGGGAAGTATTTATCATTGTAAGTTCAACCGTCGAAGTCATGACACATAGCCTGGTGCCCTTTAATTCGCCTACCTCTATCGCCATGATAGGAGCGTCTCAATCGGGGAAAACTAACATGTGTTTCAAAATTCTAAAACATAGAGATGCCTTGTTTCAAAATAGTTCGAATTCACCTTCCAAAATATTGTTTTGTTACGCAACTTGGCAATCCGTGTACCGCGATATGGAGCTACAATTTAAAGATGAAATCATATTTCACGAAGGACTAGTCGACGAGGAAGAGATCTTAAATTTTACGAAAGATATATCGATACCAACATTTCTAGTTCTAGATGATTTAATGGCTAGCGTATGTCAAAGTAGAGAGGCTGCCAAAATATTCACGCAATTATGTCATCATAGAAATATGAATGTCCTTTTTCTAACACAAAACGCCTTGTGTCAGGGTCCTAGCGCTAGAAATATTTCATTAAATACGCAGTATTTCATCATTTTCAAGGCAAATCGTGATAAAAGACAACTAAAGTGTTTGGCTGGTCAGATATATCCGGATAAAACGAAATATTTCATGGACAGCTATTTGGACGCCACTTCGGAAAGGTACGGTTACATAGTCGTGGATATGTCGCCAGATGGCGTTGATGAATATAGATTACGCACACGTATATTTCCGAATGAAGATCCTATCATTTATAAACCCAAAAGTTAATTGAACGCGTCAGTATAGATCCAGACGGTTACCGGACAACATATAAAAGACATGTCACGATGTCAGCACTTATTAAAAGGAATAAAAACTTCCTAAAATTCCTTTTGACTAGTACTTTGCAGCAAATGAAAGTTTTATTGAATACAATTACTGAAACGCAACTTCGAGTTCTAGGTGAAATAGCTCTTAACGTACTTCACGGTAGTCTCCCTATCGCGAATTTTTATAAACAAAAATTGAAACGACATAAAAGAGTTTTACAACACATCGCGACCAAATCAAAAAGCAAGAAGTTTAGAAAGGACTTGATCAAACGTAATACATCAGTTTTGGGTCTATTGATTAAATCCGTTCATAATTTTATCCAAAAATTGCAGCTATGATCAAATCTGTTTTGATACCTTATGATAAATATATCAGACTCGAAAATTCCACGCGTAAAACTGAGGAGGGTAATAACAAAACCATAGATCAGTCGCCAACTAATACTGATAAAATGGATGGTGGAATAGGTACACGTAAACCTAGTCAAACGAAGCAAGTTGATTCCGGGAGTAATGATGCATCTACGTTTTCCTCGGAAAATAAATTGGATGCCCCATCCGATAGCGACTTTAAGGAAGGTACCTCAAGTAAACAAAATCATGACGCGGGGCTATCAACCAGTGATGATGATGATGATGCAATAGGGATGCCTAGCTATACCGATAATACACCTAGGTTCATTTACAAAAGAAGCGCCACATCGTACAAAGTACCGGGTATTCCGGCCAAAGCTCTTAAGAGACCACGTAAAAACAAAGCAAAATGGCTGCCATTTTAAACACTCTATTAGGACATATTTGAATACAATGATATGAATATCACCCCTGTAGGCGTAAACTTGTTTGTTGGACTAAATACAGACTTTGCCTACTTAATTATAGCTGTCTTATTTACCATTGTATTTAATTAGACCGATATAAATCAATTAAACTCATGTAATTCATGTGATCTTCCCAAGTTACTTGGTTCACTTCGTATTTTTGTTTTAATTGAGGAATCGCTAAATAGTATTGAAATATAGGAAAGGTATTTAAAAAAAGATTTTAGGAAATCTGCATATTTATTCAAGACCAGAATTTATTCTATTTGACGTTTTTTTTTTAAAAATTCTGCATGTAATTTTCAAAAAAAAAACATAGTTGTCTTAAAGTTTTCTTAAAGAGGTTGATTTAAATCCTCATTGATGCGGTGTTCAAAAAGCCTCAAATGCTAATTTACTCAATCGCGGTTCGCAATTTCAATGCTAAATCGCAATACACGTGTAAACAATATCATATGATTACATTCCAACGGTGTTTAATGTTAAACAATTATTGAATATGTATACTCGATAAATGTTATATATTTATATCAATGTTGTGATATCCAACTACCACTAGATGTCAGCATCGTACAGAGTATTTTAATATTTGAAGATGTCACCCTAATCGAATATACACGTGTTTCTAAGTAGATGACATTGCAACTTTGTGTGTAGGTCTGTAATTAATGATTTTGTACAAATGTTGAAACTTTGGAATTAATAAACTTACATCGAATGTTTCACTAAGTTTTAAACAATTAAAGAACAATAAACAAACAAATTAAGGGATTTTCTGATCTACAAGATCTTGTAGTTTAATACATTCTTATTTATTTGTCGTATATCTTTTGTACACATTGTATGAATTTTATATGGCTATCATAGGCTCCCTTTGTCTTTCATCCTTAACCATCGGTAATTTGGACCTCGTTAACATTCTAAGCCATAACACATTACCTAAAAATGATATAGCATTAGTTACCACTATTAAATATAAACCAAACATTACGTTGTGTTAAAGTTTGTCAAAAATCGCGTAACTCACCTATGATAACAAAAGTTAAAACACCTCCGGTAAAGCTTAAGGCCATTGGAGTCTCTAGATTTACATCGTAACTACTACTAATATATGGTTTCAGTACGTAATAAGGTGTTACGTTTTCAGTTTCATTAAAGTGTCGAGTAACATTGATGTTTTGACAAATGCAGCATGTTCCAATAACGCTCAAAACTAATAATCGACCTATCATGTTCAAAAACCTAAGTATGAATGACTATATTACTTACATTGACGTATATATGTCTTTATTTCTACTGTGTGATACATCGTATTTAACTCTAGTTACTGAAATCCACGGGGTCGAAATAACTGCATTCACTACAACTATCAGCTTCACTTTTTTCTGCGTGACCCGTTATTACACAATGAGGTTCGGTTGGTTGAACAAGCCCGTATTTAATAAGGCTGTCCACAAATAGCTCAAACACCGCACGGGTCATAACGATACCGTTTCTATCGGGCAAATGTTTCCGTGGATCATCGGAGTATGTATTGAGATGATAACCTTTTTAAAATACAAAAAAAATACGACATGTAACCACAATATGAATGACAGTTTAAATTGTATATTCGATGTTCTATGATCAGTAACAAATCATTTAAAACCTTACCCCGAATATTAACTCTTCTAAATTTAGGATGAACGCTGAGTCGAAACTGAGCCCCCAATACAACGTCCCACTCTTTGACATCAACCTTTTTCTTTGATTCAATTTCCATGAATTTTTCAGTGACGTGTGGTAAATTGTCGATAAGTCGCGCCATTTGATTATGGGTTAGAAATACACCAGCGCACGTTCCGTAGGCATTACATACGTTTGTGATCCCCGTGATTGGCCATATTTGGTAATTTCTGATGTCAACTCCATTGTCGTTGACGGCGCTGAACATTCCGTCGCATATCTTCATTAAAACAATTTTTGGTGTCGAAATTGTTTCAATAAATTCCCCATTTTTTATTGTTTTAATATTAGATGGTACTTGAAATTTTCCAATCGGCATCTTTGGTGATTAAGTATTTAACGTTATGAAAACTAAATGAACTTATCTTTTTATATACCCTTTGACTAGTGGCTGTTTCCGGTACGTACTATAATTAACGAGACGAACTTATTGTTTAAGTCACGCCCCACGTGCCACAACATGTAAGAAATCACTCGAGCCTGTACCGGCGGGTACGGTCTTACCTATTATCGATTACCAGTCAACGACTGACGCGTTTTTATTAATTTTACTTCACCGGCTGTCAATATTCCGTATCAAATTATCAGAACCTGTACCGACGGTTCAGGCTTTCAAGGTTAAACGGGACGCGTACTGGTTTATCGATTTATTGTTTTTGGCGGGAATTCGAATAGTATCCCTTACAGTAAACGTACAGACGTGGGGGTAGGGCGTCCGTTACCCTTAGGGCCCGAGATTCCCGAAATATGTACACGCCACCACGCCGAGGGGGGAGGGGTGGGGTCCCCGTATGTGCCTCCCGAGCTCAGGGAGGCTCACAGATGTCCCTCCCCATTGGAGCCCATGTTAGGGAGGGTATTATGAAAAATCGTGTCCCTCCCCATAGGACTCCATGTTATAGGTGCGTCAGAACTCTCGTTTCTGTAACTACTCTCAGAAGGTAGTGTCTGGCAATGCAGAAGCAAGTATAGTTGGTGGACGACCTGCCTCATTGGGTAGATGGCCCTGGATGATCTCATTGAGATATAGGGAGGGGCATGCGTGTGGAGCCAACCTTATATCTCCAAAATGGGCAATCACAGCGGCGCATTGTCTAAGAGGGTATGTAACGGCGCCATTGGAAAAAACTTTCTTCTGAGATGATGTTCATGAACTAACTTATTAATACAATAATAAAGGGGAAAAGATCCATTGGACAAAGGTCTACTCGTACACACTGAGATATGAGTTCATATTTCATTCCAGTGCGACTCCGTACGGTACATGGGGAGCGATACTGAGAATTGGTGAGCACAATAGGGACGTTCTTGAGGGCATAGAAGGAGATTATTTCATCAAGAACATCATAAGAGTATGTAAATTCTCCAAGCTAAATAGTGCAATCAATTATTCAATATTATTGAAAGTACACATCATCTTTATCTTTTCTTGTTCCATTGCCAACGTTAAAACAGAATGAAATGTATCTAGTGCAGGACATAGGAAACGACTATTTGCGTATATCTAGATATGACAATGGTGAAGTAAATCCAAATGGTAAAACACAACGCTTTACATGGACGCTATGCATGTATCTGAGCCACTTTTTACGATATGATGTATGGCGTGTATTCAAATGACCCATGATGTTTTGAACCAGCCGTGTCTAATTAAACCTAACAATCTTTTTGTAGCACGAAGGCTATGGTAATGGTGAAGTAGAAGGGGACAACGATGTAGCACTTTTAGAGCTGACATACCCAGTAGATATGGCCAGCAACTACATTAACACTGTCTGCTTACCTCAAGGTGTTGGACTCGATGAATTCGTGGGAAGGGAGTGCTGGGCTGCAGGATGGGGGAGTACAGAGGGTATGTATGAATACGCAAAACACGGGTCGAAAGAGAAACGATTAAATAGAAAAGAGAATAACGAAGAAAAAGAAAAATCCGAGAGAACAACCACTCAACCTGATAAAACGAGAGCATATACCTTCAATACCAGGGTTTTGATATAAGCAAGTAGATGTATGCCAATTAGGATAATAGGGAGGTTAAGTTACACATTTTTGGGATTCAGTACATATTGGAAAACTTATCCACAGAGGACCATAATTCTACACGTTAACGTACACGTTTTTTTTTAAAACGTATATCTTAATTAACCTCCCAATTGCAAGCTAATATTTCGTATGTCATTTCAACAAAGCGTTTTGTAGATCTGAATATATATTCAATAACAATAACAATATATATACACTATTCTTTCCCTGAAGATTTTTGAATATGGAAACATGTTGGAATAATTTCCCTGCCTTTATTTTGGATTATTTCATTATATTTAATAACATATTATAGATATATACATGTATATGCAGGTACTGGCAATGCTAGGAGACTCCAGGAGGTACAGGTGCCGGTATATTCAGATGCTGAATGTAGAAATCATTTTGGCGCAGATAGAATCTCAAGGCGCCAGATTTGTATGGGGATGGATGGAGCTTCAGCTTGCGGGGTGAGTTGGTGCTTCAGCTATATATATATATTAAAGCTCTGAGGAGGAAGTGGGTTAGTAAATTGAAATATATAAGAGTAACATATAAGGGTTATGTACTGGGAGGTTTTGGATATGGGGTTTATCCAGAGGGAGATATGCATATCTACCTGAGGGACCGTAGGGACCGAAGGTAGATGTGCATATCTCACGAGGGATGAACCCCATATCCAAACCGACCGTACATAACTGCTTTATCCTATACCAAGTAGAGTTTTCAGGGGCATATGGCCATTTCAATAGTACAAGGTGTAAAAATAAACAAATCATTCATAGGCAAAGTCATTTTATTGCATTACCGGAAGCGGGAAGATATGCACCGAGTGCGGGGAGATATGCACCGAAGCGGGAGATATGGCGGGGGATATGGAGGTTCTGGATATGGAAACCTCAAAATCAGGATACGGGATATATCTTACCAACTTATCTCCCTAAAACTCTACTTGGCATCGGATAAAGAGTAATATCACAAAATTTAAAACATCATCAAGTATGTTTCTGTTTGCCCTCTTTTTGATTTTTGATATTTTGTGTAAAATTTAATTAGAAAATCGGAAATTGGTCAGCTGCACCCGATTCTAACCTAGCTGTTTCATGTAATGTTGTAGGGAGATTCTGGCGGTCCTCTTCAATGCTTGATGAATGGACGATGGTTATTGGCTGGAATAACGTCATGGGGAAGTCCCGGATGTGCTGGTCCATCTGTTTATATGCGCATCAGTGAATATGTCGACTGGATATATGCAAATACTGGTGTTAGTTTGGTTTATACAAATTCTATAAAATAGTAATAAATAATTCCTCTACTTACCACAATACATTAGTCACAATCCCAACAAGCAAAATATACATGAGAGATATGTTATCAAATTCAATACTGTCTGTAGCACCTCGAAAGACAGTCCGCCGTGTTTTCTATTTCAATACACACATCTTGCTGGTACGATATCTGAGATATTGTCCTATTTTTAACTGTTATATAGAGAATCATGATATCAACTTTGACAACCTATGTAGTAGTTTAAAGTAGGCTGCTTCATAATAGTCTATCAGGTGTCGAAATGGTTGCCAATCCTGGAAAATTTTGTAGAAAAACCTCTAAAATCTACAAATATGTGCATTAAATTACAATTGCGCCATGCACGATATGCTTGTCTTGCAAGAATAGGGCATCAGTCTGTATTAAGGAGGTAATGTTTGGGAAATATGGAATAATTGGGCTCATAGTGATTGGTGGTACCAAGGAAAATATTCTGCAGCTACACAGGCCCGTAACCAGGATTTGCCAGGGGAGGTTCACTTTTTGAAAAATTCCAGGCTGGTTTAATCCTGAAAACTGCATGATTTTGAAAGATTTTTTGGTCAGGCGGGGGGTCGTTCGAAGCCATCGACCCCGCCCCCTGGCTACGGGACTTCGACATGTACATCTTTTGTATCAGTTTACATATGTTTCTATTTTTTATGTATGAGTTACACTACCACGTTCTAGGATAATACATCTTAAAAGAGATTGATGATTTTTTTAAATTATGTTTCCCTGTATAGTAAGGGAACATGAGGCAAAGCAGCCCTAAAAATTGAATTTTAAGTTGTTCCGTACGGGGTATTTTCTTATCTATCAAACATCGCGCACTTTGATGTTCCACTTTATTAATGGCTTGTGGTTTACATTTTATACTTGCCAAGTAGACCTTCTGTGATTTTTCAACCAAGATTAATCAATTACAAGACTCGTCCGCACACATCTTATCTCAGACGTTTAAACCTTTGACAGATAAAGTATTTTAACCCCTACCATAATTCTAGTTATTTGATATGTGTCGGAAGGAAATAAGGTACAAATCAAATGTTAAAATCGTTATATTTAAAAATCATTTATTCTTGTACAATAAGATTTTCCCCAGAGACATGTTAATTTTCAAATAGACTATGTAAAATGTTAATTCAAAACGATATTCTATTGCCGGATTTTTTAGTGATTCTCGTGGGAGGGGTAATTTGCAGAAAAGAGAATGAAAAGTAGAATTACCTCTTACGTAAGGCGAGGCGCTGCTAGGTTAAAAAAGGGCGGTCGAGAAGGTAGCGGAAATTTCAAATTTCGATTATGTGACTTTTGAAGAACCAACTTTTTATAGTTCAAAATATATTTCGAATGGCCATTTTGCCCCACATGGCCGTTGTGCCCCATGTTCCCTTACTTTGACTTGTATCATTATTGTCATCACTTGGATTCGTTTACGTATGTCCGGGCGCACTAGTAAATGTTCCTTTTCTGTTTTTAATACAATTTGATCTTTCCCTTTTGTATGTTTATATACATTAACTTTGAACAAAAGTGTCACTTCAGTTGTTTTGACTACATTACACCACAGCTAAGTATAATTCATATTCGTATATTGTGTTAATGGCTTAACTAAGAGATTATCTTGAAATATTGCATTTAAACGATCAAAATTTGTAATAATAGTACAAATGCGCTATTTCAACTAAGAAGCATTAGTCCTATTCATTAGATAACTTGTAAATGGTATTTAATGTTCTGGTCATTATATACTGCATAATTGGATATCAACGTTACTTTACAGTAACATCAGAATAAATAGTAATCGCCAGCCAAAATGCATACTTGTTGTAAAAATGCAAGTTTTAATAAGTGATCATGAGCCTTCAGGACTTGGCGTAAAAGAATTCAATCAGATTAAAAACTAGTGTTATGACATGTTAAAATGACAATGAGCGAGTCAAGCATCTTAGACGAGAACAAGAACAAGGGGGAAAGTCGACTCGCTATCAATCCTTGTATCGATGATGTTGAAGATAATCACTCTAATACTGGAATAGAGGAAAATGAAATTATAACATTGAACATCGGAGGAATACGATTTCAGACTTTTGCCAAAACATTACAACGTTACCCTAGTACAAAACTTGCACAACTAAACCAACTGGATGCCAGTTACCGCCACAAACAGAACGAATACTTTTTTGATAGAAACCCAAATCCATTTTGCAGCGTTCTTGATTACTATCGTACTGGGGAGTTGCACTGCCCAGGGGATGGTATATGTGGTTCCGCCTTCAAACTAGAATTAGACTTCTGGGGATTGATTGATAACAACATTGAGAAATGCTGCTGGATGGACTATTCCGACAATGCCGATATGAAAGATGTACTGAACGTTCTAGACAAGCGGTTAAAGGAAGACATAGCTGTGCCAATTGTTGCTAATAATGCAGGAACATGGTCTAAATTTTGTCATAAAGTATGGCTGGTTATGGAATATCCAGAAACATCAGTTCCAGCAAAGGTATGATAGCGAATGAAATGTATTTTTCGTATTTTCATCATATAGCGTTGATGGTGCATTTCATGAAACGGGTAGTTTTCAATAATTCCAAATCATTTCAAATGACGAAATTCGTTTGTCAAAGCTTTATGTTATCTATGCAATTGCAAATAAATTAAAGGTGAAATAGATATAAATTGCTTTATGTAATTAGTTATTTATAACTCCTCTTTTAGATGAGAAGTTTCCATACTTTTTTTGTACTTGTGATATTGAGGCAAGTTTCATTGCAAATGTAATAAATGAAATCGACAGATGAACAAGCAGATCATGGTTGCAATAATGGCAAAGTTTTTGTTTTTCATTTTAGATCTACACCGTATTGACTGTTACTTTGCTCCTGGCATCATTAATGGTGCTAGCACTTGGCACATGCAAAGCCTTTTCAAGTCCGCTTACTGCAAGAGACGTTGCAGAATTGTACAAACTACCAGTTGACCAAGTCAATGTATCCGAAGATGGGTCATTCAGTATTTACTTCGATGATGATTACAATTATAATGACGACTATTATTACCAGTATTACTATTACGACGACGATGCCAATGGTACTTTTCCTGATAGACAAGGTAACCCACAACCAACCAATTCAACGATTAAACCTGAAACCAACTTAACTCTGATTTTGAATGCGTCCAATTCAACTAACTCAACTAAAGATGATGATTACCAGTACTATTATTATGATGATGCCAATGATACGGTGTCTGTTAACGAATCCAATTCGACAACTCCAGCCAATAAACCAGATCTTGCTGGTAAAGGTGGCGCGAGAAGAAAAAGAGGAGCAAGTTCAATTGCCAAAAACCCTAAATTAACCAACAATAGTGTATCTTCTGATCAGAATTTAAATATTCAACTTAACCAACTGAACAAAACCCGACGAAAATTTAAACCCACCAAATCTCCACCAAACAAATTTGACGCAGGAGGACTCCGAAAACCATTAAAAGAATTGTGGTTAATAGAGGCTGCAGTCTACGCATTTTTTACCGTAGAACTTATCGTGCGACTGATTGTTTGTCCATCCAAAATAATATTTCTGAAAAATCCATTCACAATTTGTGACTTTCTCAGTTTAGTTCCATTTTACATACAAGTCATACTCCAGAATATTGAAAAGGAGGAACAGTATAAGATTAGTCCCATCGACATAATGGTTGTTCTACGTGTTTTAAGACTGGGGCGATTAATCTCTTTAATGCGGAACATTATGGGATTTCGTGTTATGATCTACACACTCAAATCAAGTTGCCGAGAAATGTTTCTTTTGCTTGTTGTTCTCTTTTTTGCTGTCTTCAGTTTCGCAACCATGGAGTACTATACCGAGCAGTTAACCAAAGGAGATATCGAAGTTCAAATCGATAGCATACCGATAGGTATATGGTGGGCATTGGTTACTATGACAACTGTTGGGTATGGTGACTATTCTCCCAAAACTGGATTTGGACTGTTCATAGGATCATTATGCGCACTCAGTGGAATTTTGGTCATTGCATTTACGGTTCCAATTGTTGTAAATAATTTCATGATGTTCTACAAGCATGCAAGTTCCTTACGACCAAAACAGCCGGGAGAAGAATACGTAATCTCAGCTAAAAAGACAAATGGTTTAAGTGAGACGGATATCGTTATGTCCAAAAATGAATCCCCAAAGCATACACAGACTCCGACTAGGACGTTCGGTTCTATTCGAACGGTACGTAAGATATCAGTGGAAGAGTATACTGAAACGTAGCTTATACGGACATTATACTTGACGATTTGATTCGCATCCACATGAATATAAAATTGTTTAGAAACATGTTTCCATAAGAACAGAATGGCAAAATACTAGTAAACGATCTTTATTGAAGATATTTGTTTACAGATGATCTGTGATTGTTCAATGATTCATCAACCTTTTATTACAAATGAAATAATATTTATTTGAGAAAGGTTTAACGTTCGGCCTGTAATGAATGAGGCTAGTTAAGTCAATAGTTCACAACCATGAACTTCATCAGTGGAGATTTAACTGCATGTTTTCTGGATCTCTTGTTAGTTTGAGACAAGTAATTAAAATAGTGAAACCATCAATATGGTGGGTACAGGCTAGAGCTTACCCAAAATGTATTAAACCCTGTACTTTTATGATAAGAATTATGACTGGGACATGTCCCCTAAATGCGTATGACCATGTTGCTAAATCTAGATTATGTTCTTCATATGTAATGATGCAGATGAAAATGTAGTTCACTTTCTTTTCTCTTGTGAAAGCCTAGCACAAGAAATGGTCCCTTTTTAGAGTATATTAGAGTTATGAATTACCGTGGTCAAGGTTTTAATGCAATCATTGTAAATATCCTGAAACAAGGAGATATTACTGCTGCTCTGTATATATACAACCTGTATAATAAAAGATGTAGCTTGCTGTAGATAGTGGTACTTCAACTTTATACCCATCATTTATGGTGGAATAAAAGAAACATAAACACATAAACATAAACATAATGGGAAGTCTTGTACTTTTGGTGACAACACAGACAATGAAACCTCGTGTTGATGTGTGATGGAGCGAGGTGGGGGGCTCAAACAAGGCCGTTGTTTTTATCCTTGCAGTTGCATTCTAAACAACCTCGCCCATTTTATACACTCCCTCCATAGGTTTTGCAACGGGGAGTCCCTTTTTGGATCACTCACTTTATTAATGCCTGTTTATGTTTGGCTTTTAAACATTTGTCACTAATTTCAAAACTATTGGAATTAAGGAACAAAATTAAGTTTCAAACATTGACAGGCAATCCAATCCAATCCAATCCAATTAAAATTATTAAATCAAATATCCAGTCACACTCGCGTGTTGATTTGAGAGCCTTTTGAACAGAATACATCTATTTAGAGTAAATATTTATTTATCATAACACTTTCTTGATTGGATGATTGTAATCGGGTATAACACTAAATAACTGTATTTTGTTTGTTTGCGATATGTGTATGTATTATTTATTTGCGTCTAAAGGCCCCCTCACATATGAACGAATCCACCAAACGCAGCCTGGCGCATGTGGTAAATTAGTCATTTCTGGCGAATATTGAGCGAAAATGTTTAAAAATATGTTACATAATAGAAAACATAACGAATAGTAATGTAAGGTAACTATTTGTTGCGAATGTTTTACGAAGTGTGACGAATTACTACTTTTCTTCGCTAAGATGCGTTGCGTCTCGCAAACAACCTTTGAAATCCCCTTCAGCGAGTAATAACGCATACATGCGAAATAAAGCGTAATTATGCGCATTCTTCCGAATCTGAACAAAGCCTTACGAAGAGCACGAGGCGTCAGCGATTCCCGTCAGCGATTAACAACGCATACATGCGAACCAAAGCGCAATTGTGCGCATGCTTCCGAATCTAAACGAACCTTTGCGAAAAGTGTAAGGGTCAATTTACTTGACAACACCACACTATCATATATAAATCTGAAATTGTTAACCTATATTTTAATGTTTATAACCACTTACCAAAAGTGTTGATATATTATTATAGCCTCCCAATTTTAGTATTGTTGGCTGTGGCCATTTTGTGGTCGGTCATCGGTGTTCGGCCAATTCTTACAGCTTTGTAATAACTTGTAATTGGTGTAACTTTGTAATTATTCATTTATTAACCTGTATTTAAACAGAGTAGTACAAAACATATAATATACAGTTATGGTGGATCGAAACATATTTACAGTTTAGTGACACCTTGTTAATTACAAGAGATCAGATGCATCTATAGTGTGTTTCACTAGTATGTTAATTGCCAGCATATTGGCTGATGAGCTTTGCTCTTTTGATATACATTACATGGATGATGTTCGAAATACCAGCCATGTCTGAATAAGTGACGTTGCCATTAAAATTAAATATGATTAGTAGATGGGTTAACTACATTTGGACTTCATTGTATGATGCAAATGTCCCCTTTGGCATGGAAGTACCCTAGGGCAATATAAATAAATTTATCCAAAGACACAAGCTAGATGGCGCTTTATATTGGAAATATACACATTTTTCAAAATGGCCGCCAAAAATTCACCAGAGACAATATCTTTAATTCTGTGCATGCTACAATTATAAGATTGGTGTCAAAAATACAGCAATGTGGTCGTAGAATCTATTTTATTAGATATTGAGTCTTGAAAATTAAGAACTTCCACTTTATATTCAATATATACGCGCTTTTCAAAATGACTGCCAGAAATATAACAAAGAAGATATCTTGCCTTACGAATACTTACAAATTAAGATATCTTACCTTACAAAATGTCCCATTTGGTATGGATATTCCTTGGGGCAATAGAAACAAATTTATCCAAAGACACAAGCTAGATGGCGCTTTATATTGGAAACATACACATTTTTCAAAATGGCCGCCAAAAATACATCAGAGACAATAGTTTTGCTTCTGTGCATGCTACAATTATAGGAGTGGTGTCAAAAAATACATTAATGTAGTTGTAGAATCTATTTAATTAGGTTTCGAGTCTTATAAATTCAGCACTTGCACTTTATATTCAAAATATATGCATTTTTCAAAATGGCTGCCAGAAATATAACAAAGAAGGTATCTTCGCTTCTCAGCATGCTACAATGATAAGAGTGGTGTCAAAGTATACATTAATATCGGTTTGTAGAATCCATTTAAATAGGTCTTTCATAATAAGAATTTTGCGTTTTTAAAAATGGCCACCAGAAATATAACAATGATGATATCTTCACATCAGTGCATGATACACTGATACGATTGGGTGTCAAAATTTTATATTCATGGGGTAGGAGAATCAATTTTATTAAGCCTTGTGAGGTTATCGTTTTCACTTTATATTGGAAATATATGCAGCTGAAAATATAACAAAAATTGTATCTTTGCTAACAAAGATTGTACCTTTGCTAACAAAGATTGTATCTTTGCTAACAAAAATTGTATCTTTGCTAAAAATTTCTTTATTTCTGGGCATAATATTTCATAAAATTGGCTTCAAAATCTACAATTTTGGGAATGTAAAATCTATATAATTACTCAGATGCAAGGGTAGTTACCATTTTCCCCACCAGGTGGTTAATTCGGGTGAAATAACATTGCAGGGTATTACAAAGTTCCCTTAAACTTGAATATTCTTAATTTCTAGTGGTTCACATTTCATATTATTCGTTTGTATCTGATAGTTGTACAAATTAAAATATCTCCAGTTAAAGAAAATATTATCTGCACAACACAAGAAAAGATATTTCACTTTTTGTGTTTTACAACATGGCGACTATGGGGAATCTCCCTGACCTAAACGTCACATTTTCGAAAAAAATCAATTTTAAAGTTGATGGACTCATTTCAAAACCACATTTCTTGAAGTATTTTTTCATTAAGATTCAAAAATTAACATCAGTTAGACTGAATTTTTAATTTTTAATGACAAAAATAAAGATTGTTACTACTCCCATCTAGCAAATTGGATTATGAGCCTTAAAAATAATCGTTTTCGCCTTAACACAGCAACTGTGTATTTATCTTTCAATGTTCTTTTTACTCAAATTCACCAGAAACACCAGTGTCTCTTTAATAACTTGAAATAAACATGCATCTGCAATGGTAGTGCAATTTTAGTTGTTGCAATGCAACATACATAAGAGAGAAATGTGATAGATAGAGACCACGCAGAACAGACATACAGTTAGAAAGGGCCAGAAACCTTCTGGCGAGAGAAAATTTTGAAGTTCGGAATAGATTTCAAGGGCTGCATATTATGACAGTATTTCAGAACCCTCTTCCTCTCCTCTGACCAAATCATGGATGATGTCTCTGTTTACCAAGTCTTCCACTAATCCAACAAACAAACTATTAAGCTTGTTGTTGATTGGCAACCATTTTGAAAAAGACATGTATGTACACACATACAGCACTGAATATTGTCATATTGAGAAAAATATTCTTATTTTCTCATTTGAACATTTAAGAGATTAAGATTTTAAGATTTTAAACGGCAATATGTCTTTCACCATAAGTACTTCCTGGCCATAAAAACAATGTGTTTTATTCCAAGTGAAGTTCCCATGATTGTTAAATATGAATCCAACTTTCTGGGAAATTATGGATTAGGATCCCACATTGGCACTTTTTTAAAATGTTAAGCTTATTTTGTAAAAAGATGATCTTCTTTCTCAATTAAAACATATCAAAAGTTGCATCACTTTATATCAACAATTACTTAAAACACTTTCAAACTATTCTACTTTTGAAGAAGTTTAAGAGCCCTTGTTAGATTGATTTAATTCTTTGTAATATTTTCCACAGCCATTGAAAAAAGGCATACATTTTCAATAAAAGGTGAAAATGTTTGTTAACTAATAGACATACAGTACAATTTCCACTGATTTCAACATTTTGGTGACATTTAGTCAATGGTAAAAATTATATTTAGACAATAAAAGAATTGAGATCTAACTTAATATAATGTAAGTTACCATACCTTGACGACATATCTTGTAAGTAATAGCTAACCAACTCCTTCTCTGCGACATTTTGAATTTTCTGAGCCATTAATCATAAAATTAACGCCATCTTCAATTTAATTGAGTACATATGGCCATATGACTTTGAAGGAATCTGACAATAATTGCAAAATCATACATAAGACAGACGATGAACTGACAGACTGACGGACGGAGGACTTCATTATATCCCCACTGAACTTTCTTCGTTGGGAAAATAAAGACTATAAACCTTATCAAATGAATTCTACCACCCATTAATGTATACTTGGACATCAATCTTACTGTTGTAGCATGCATACAAGTGAAGATATCATCTTTGTTACATCTCTGGCAGCCATTTTGAAAAAGGCATAATTTTTTGATATGAAGAGGAAGTTCTTAACTTTCAAGACTCACACCATACTAAATTGATTCTTCACCAACAAAATGTATATTTAGGCACCAATCGTATCATTATAGTATGCATAGAAGAAAATATATTGTCTCCGTTGTATTTTTGGCGGCCATTTTGAAAAATTTGAATATTTCCAATATAAAGCGCCATCTGGCGTGTGTCTTTGGATAAATTTGATTCTATGGTCCTAAGGTACTGTCATGTCAAAGGAAACGTTTGCATCATAGATTGAAGTCCAGACCCCCTTAAATGCAGTTAACCCATCTACTAGATATTCTTATTGTCCGTCAAGCCATTGCCACTGTACTTGTCAAATATTTTTGCTAATTTGATGCGTAAGTGTTTAGATTGACTTAAGATAAATTTCTGTCATCAACTCCTCAATAAGCTCAAGCAGATTTTTGGCAATATGTTCTGTTGCCGTGCCAATATACAGGGTGACGCAAAAAATGCCACCCACTTATTCTGGAATAACTTTGTCAATAACGACGGAATCTTCGTAATTTTTTATCAAAGATTGATGTACTTGAATTGCATCAAATACAATTTTCTGAAATTGAGATTTCTTTCTTAGCCATTATTTGTGTCATTTCTGTATTGCTTTCACATATTTTATCATTTAAATGTCATATCTACCCATTTTCCTTCATAATTTGTGCTATATTTGAGGAACTGACTCACTTTTTAAGTAAATTTAAAAAAAGAAAGATTTCTAAATCACATTTTCGAACGATTTTGTGTCAGAGCATGCCTCCGCGGAAAATGTGACATCTCTTTATTCTTAGTTATTGATGCAATGCAAGTATACCAATCTTTCTTCCATTGAACACTCTATCTACACATAAAAGAAAGTAATTCTGAAATAAGTGGGTGGCATTTTTTGGTGTCACCCTGTATTTAATGGCTCTTCTGACATTTCTAACATAGTCTACCTTAATTAAGAGGTCGTAGTCAACACAGATTTGAAATTCATACAGTGATCATCCATTGGGAATGTTATTAACATGTACAATTGGTTACCATGCCAAGCAATTATTGTAATTACTTTTCAGTTTGAATGAAATATCCCTATGTTTTATGGTTTTGGGTCGTAATATTTGATATTAGAATGGAAGGGGAGGGGTGTTGGACACTGTTTCTTTTGACGCTTGAATTTCATTTGGGATAGTTGGAGTTTGTTTTTAATGACAATATTCGCTTAAAGATTTTGTTTCTCTTGTGTTTTCTGATCATGTTTGGTATTTTCCCTTTGAAATTATATCAATACATTTCTTATTATTAGACTCGTAAAACAAAAATACGTTTAAACTAGTTTTTACAATTTATGTCAGGCAAATTACACTTAATTTCAAGTTGACACAGTGCTTTAGATTATTTCTCAAAGTCCAACCTTTAATTTGGCATGATCCTGTCTTGCCATGGTACACTTCCTGCTGGAGAGTTGACCCAGTGCTTCAGAGTATTTCTCACAATCTTCCCCTTTTTGTTTGCTGTGTTGTGGCCTCTGATATTGACAGGCCTGACATCTTCCAAGTTGCAATCTCTCCTCCATTCCCCAGGAACCATGTCGCCTCTTCTGTCCTCTTGGTCAATCAGTGCATTTTGCATTGTAGGGTACCTCATTTTCATCAAGTTGTGGAGAATGCAGCATGTCATGACTATCAGCCTCGCTGTGGATGGCTTATGGTTCATCGTTGAGAGGGGGACCTGAAATGTTATTATGCGTTAAATTGAATTAATTTGAAAATACGGATTAATAGTTAAACTGTCATAGGTCGAATGTGGAACTCAGTTGGTTCCAATTTATGCGCATCTTTCAAATTATTTATCAAACAAAACATACTATTTTCATGTCTCAATTAGCGGAAGTTCGAATGAAGTCTCATTTACTCGAAGTCGAATAAACGTATCTAGATAGTCCCAGGAACTTGGAGTTTAACTGTTTGTTTCGCCGACATATTATAAATTACAATGTACCTGGAATCGGTTGGCCAAAATTCCAAAGGCGTTTTCTGAAACCCTCCTAGCCCTCGATAACCGGTAGTTTAGAATTCTTTCCTCTCTAGTGAGGGTTCTATGTCCATAGGGCTTCTGCATGTGATCACTGAGGCTGAATGCGTCATCCCCTACCAAGAAAAAAGGCATATCAACGGTGTCGTTGGGAAATGGCTGTTGGTGTGGAAATGCGATCGAACCATCCTGCACCAACTCCAAGAATTCCGATGCATTATAGATCCTGGCATCTCCACTTGAACCATATCCTGAAATTATACAAGAGTAAGAGGATAAAATATTGTCTGTATACATTGCAAATATAGCTATAATTGTATTAAATCTATATAATTACAAAAATTATCTCTTCTCAGCTCCACCATGAGCTGATCATATATGCCGAATTGGCGCAGTCTCTCTGGATTCAACCATTGTCTCCTCCAGATGCCACGTCCTCTGGCTCCCCTTCTCCGCCTAAAACGGCCTCTGATGAACTCATGAATGTTAAGTTGCTGCGTTAAAACTTCTTGCTGGGCCATAGCAGCCACGTACTGCAGCCTCAGTCGATCTGTGTCTTCCATGACAAAAGAATTATTTGATTTAATTTGGAATTCTCTCAATTATTCAGCTTAACGTAGATCCAATTCGTAAGTATTCGTTCCACTGCGTACAAGGTTGCAAACTGCCGCAATGGTTCGTAATGGTTCGTAATGGGATCGTCGTCAGTCGCTTGATATGCAAATTATGGGGATACGACCTTATCCCCAGCGACCTGTAACGTCACTTGACGAAGCCAATGCGAAGGTTAACCGATCGTTAACGCATTGAAACGAATTTCAACGAATGACACACGAAACTTTTATTCGCTGCAATCTTTTGAACATGTTCAAAATTTTCCGACGAAAAAGACTAATTTCAACCGAGGTAAACGCTGACAAACGCATCTATACGAACACTGCGACGTACTGTCACGAACTCGAACTAATGAGAACGAATTTGACTAATTTCCTATTCGCCACTATACGCAAGTTGACGTAAAGGGGTTTTCGTTCATATGTGAGGGGGGCTTAAAATAAGCGTATAAAATTAGTAAAATAATTTAAAGGAATATCGTTTCTATTTCATCATGTAGTGAGAACAGTCCTACATGGTTTAGATCATTGATACTCTGCCTCTATGCATGGAATATATCACAAGTGATATGGAGCAGAGTGAGTCGATGCTCTCTAATATGAATGTTTGTGTATTCATTGAATCCTACTTATCTCACCTGAAAAACATTTATAGATACTGGGTATAGAGATTTGTGACTTAGAGGTTGAACGTTTTTAAATAGAGCAGGTGAATGTGTCATAGTTTGTAAACAAAAGTGAAAAAATCTACCTGTTGAAGGATGATGGTTCATAAATCAATGTACAACCATACATAATTTATAGTTTATTTAACCTGTACATCCTGTTGCGGGACCAAACCCAAAATGCTATCATTACCACATAGACTGAGTGGGATAACTCTAATCAATAAAATAAAACAAACAAAAACAAGAATATCATAGAAATATGTCTAATCTTGACAAAGAACCGAGCAACATTGCAAATAATATGTTGGGACGAATTATCCCAAGGCCTGAAGTCAGTTTTTGCCACGGGAAGGGGGGGAGGTCCTTTTTCAGGGGGGTTCACATTTGACACGTTGGCCCAAAATCACTTGATTAGTGCTAAGAATAGTGAGAACCTGTATAATGTTGAAAGAATTTTTGGCCCTGGCTACAGGCCTGATCCACATCGTCAATTAACACTAAATAAGGCAATTACAAATCGAATGTCTGTTTAGCAGTGCTTACTCTCGTCATCCCAATACATCCCTTTTCAAACTGCTCTTTTTAATTTTTTCATTGATTTTAGGTGTTTGATTTGATAGTAAAATAAATCAAATGACCTGCCTAATGGGTCATTTTCCCCAAAGGATTCTACTAGACAGTTGTACATACTATTTTCTGCATTAGTAATACAATAATTTGAAAAACCATTGCGTGATCATCTTATTCCTCGACTGGGTGCATAGTAATAAAAAGACCGGTGAATTTACCTAGATATAAACACTAGGTATACAAGTATAATTTAAAAAATCAAACAAAAATAGTAAAGATTTTATGATATATAAAGTGACATAATTTTAGTCATGTCAAAATGTCTCAAAATCTTAATCGCCCAATTATATGGTAGTGGTATTGATTTATATGATGTGTCAAAGGCTTACTAATTATGAGTGCATCAATACGTATTATTTACAATCTAGACTAAAGATCACACCTACATCAAAATGGATATAAATGGGTTATGGACAATTCGATTCATTTTGCATACATTCATATTCTTGGATAGAGGACCGCGAAGGAAGTTAATACAATTGAACGTGAGATACCTGAGAAATAATGACTGGTAAGTTCTGTTTTTTCCAAAGCAACATATTTATTTGTTCCAATGATTAACCACGGCATAGATAATATTTCCGTAATAAACATTTACATTTAAGCAAAAATAAAAAAGAAATTAAAGTATTTTGTCATATCCGTACTTGAAGCAAATCTGATCAAAAAGTAATACTTTGGGAAAATAGTACTTGTTTGCTGATTTGATGTAAAATTGTAATATTTTAGGATATATCAGGCATAGGTTCGTTCTGGGATTTCTCTGCATTACATATTTGTTGTTAGTATCAGGTAAGAATTCGCCAATATTCTTAAAATGTAATAGGCATATCCATTATAATCAATAAAAATGTATAGAACATTTGGACAATAATAGAAATAAGTTGAAACATCAGGGGCTTGGCCTGTACATTTAGGCCGGTTTGTATATTACGACATGTACATTTTGACTTCATTGACATTTTAGTTGAAAATAGGCCTTATAAAGCATATTTTTGTATTTTATTAAAGCCTGCTTCATGGCTTTCTGCGCCAATGTATATAAATATACAAAATCGTTTTGGAAAAAGATATATATGTATATGATCGTGGGATGTCAATAAATTATTATATTCGAGCTTTCCAAGCCATGGTAATTATCATGTAGTCTACCTGAATTGGTTGTATATGTATTTTATGGTTATGATGTAAATTATTTTATCAATCGCAGTGCATTCTCAGAACAACTTGTGCCCAGATGGAGATGAATGCGATCCCCTACATGGAAGATGTGTTTCTGGACGATGTGCATGTCAACCTAATTACTACGACCTATGTGATAAGTGTAAGTGCATCCAGAACCATAGAAACAACGATGAATTTCAGATAATTGAACTGGGAAGCAAGTATGATAAAGATATAAAGCCCGCTCGCCCATCTGATGATCTTCACTATTTGAGGTCGAAGCACCTTTTTAAAAACGGTTTTCTTCAATTGTTCTTTAGAAAGATCCGCCATTAATACTTTACATTTCTTTTCTTATACATATTATGTACTTTTTAACATATGATCTCCGTTACCATAGCATGTGTTGACCAACTTTGATAAAACTTATCATAATGGTAGAACATAATAAGTAGATGTTTACCTGTAAATATCAAGATGATTGGTTGAATATTCTAGGAAGTATACATGCCTTTCCTAGTACCCCCCCCCCCCTTAAAATCACATCAGGGGATACAAATCTGCATATTTCCCGAACACTGAAAAACTAGGCACAAATAACCTACATAAATAGAAATTTGCAAAACCACTTTTACACCACGCTCATCCAGTATTAGCTAACGTTACAACGACGTTCCACGACTGAAATAGCTCCGGATATATTTGAATATACACATTATTGAAAGTAACCCAATGCAAGGCTGAAATCATAACTTTCCGGATATTCGTTTTTAAGAGTCATCCACCCATCTATCAGGCAGTATGTTCATGTTTGCAGATGAAGAACCATGTCTCGTAGAAAGATGTGGCGGAAATGGAAACTGCATCGCTTCTTCAGAAGGAACCCCCTCGTTTGCACTTGTACCGAGCTACAGGTGTATTTGCTTTAAGGGCTTTTCAGGGGACAATTGCCAGGTTAACGGTGAGTGTAGCCAATTATACTATAAAATTAAATGCATAGTCTATAGCTATTTTCTATTAGAACAGATGTAATATCGTATTTGTCAAAATGTTCAGAGGGGGATTTGGTGACAAAAATTAAGCTAAATTACTTTTATGTTTTCCATGTTTTAAAAAGTGAAATAAATATCATTTCCTGTATTAAATACTTAATACTTACTAAGTATAATACTTTTAATTTATTTCTCTGGAGACAAATCAAATGGTAAAATAATCCAAGAAGTTATATGAGATAAAAACCATCAATTAATTGCTCGAGTTTAGGGAAACTTATTGTATGCTGCCTGTATATTCTAACCGACCTTGGAAGCACGTCAGAATGTCATGCATATTGTTTATAGAGTTGTGTAGCAGTCCGTCGGACAGGAGATGTCAAAATGGTGGTACATGTCGTGCATCGGGCATCAATGATTACACTTGTTCCTGTCCCCACCCTTACCAGGGTAAAAACTGCGAAACCGGTAATTAGTATAATATGAAACTTTATAATAGTGATGAGGATATACGATATCAGAACACGTGTGTGGTAAATTTGACCAAAGCTCAATATAGGCACTTTGTAAAAACAATTAGAAAAGAAAAAAATAAACAGTATCGTAATTGCAAATGCATTGTATTGTATACTCCTATTAAAAATCACAACCTTGTACATGTGTAGGATTTTTTTATTCTGTGAGCATTTTTACATCAATTGAGACTCATTGTTTTTTAGAAGGACAATCTCGACCAACTTAAACTTACACAAATCTATTAATGTTCTCTCGTCAAATCAATTCAATACACTAAATGCAACGTGTTCAGAATCATCGCCACAATCACTGGGGGGTATCGTGATGCAACAACACCGTGTTGTTGCATCAAGATGGCCAGACTTCCGGTGATAGACTTTCGTACGATATTTTGTTTTCCCAATTTAAACCCATTTCTAGGACGAGTTGCTCAATAATCATACACGTGCAGTTAGCTCATGATCTATATTTAAAAAATCTCTCATTAGTATGCATGTAGCATCATCAAGAAGCGAGAAATTCGCGGTTTTAATTCCTCACTATTGATGCAACAACACCACTCTGTTTATTATCGATGATGCAACAACACCAATGTGGACTTTTTTAAGCCGAGTCATCCAGAAAAAGATGGATGGATGGATGAAATAGGAAGGAGGGATAGGACAGAATAGGATGGAACGATAAGAGAGAATAGAGAAGAAAGATAGAATAGAATAGCAAGGAATGATAAGATAGGAAGGATAGGAAGGAAAGGATAGGAAGGATAGATAGGAAGGAACGGATAGGGATAAAAGGGATAGGATAGGAAGGATAGGATAGAATAAGAAGGAACGATAGGATAGAATAGCAGGATATGATAGGAAGGAAGGATGGATGGAAGGATGGGTGGATTTTTCAACATTTTCTTCGCTACTCTTGACTTTCTATCAGGATACCATCAGATCGATTTTTCAAAACGCCATAACTTCCGAACCGGAAGTCGGATCAAAGAGAAAATTCTATTCTTCATTCAAAACTCAAACGTTAAATTTGGAGAATTTTTTATTTTGACCTACTTCTTGGACACCATATCTCAAAAGTGGGTTAAAATACTTTCTGACGGCAAAAGGCTAACACTATTAGTACACTCTTGGCTACATGTATACACAATTTCGAAGAATATAATTGAAGTGTAGTGTCAGAATCACAAAAATAAGGAAAACTTTGAATTTGACCTAGATTTTGACCTAGACATTTTTGTGTCCAAATTTTGAAGCTAGATTGCTTTTGAGGTACTCTTCATTTAAAGGCTTTCATTAAATTAAGCTGTACTCGGTCGTATATATGTCTTATTTTACACTTCAAAAATAATTTCCCATTTACTTAACATGGGGCACCAAATTTAGCGATTTTGAGTTTTCAAAACGCCATAACTTCCAATGAGTGTTGGTTTAATGATATTGCAGTTATACAATGCTATTATATAGAGGTTATTTACTGAGAGGGATTCAATATTGGTTTTATTCCGGGACACATTATGATATTTCCCGAGGGCCCAGGGGAAATCTGGGATTACTGTACCCCTATCAATTTACCTTTTCGGGACCTAAATCCTATTACCTACCCTTTTTATTCAATCGGGGAGAACGAATCCAAAGATTAAAATACTTCTACATGTGCGCTGTGCAAGATTTCCAATAGCTCATCGTGTCTACCGAGAACGAAAGATGTTTGTCCACCATTTGAATGATACTAACTGGTATCAGGGTCATCAAGCTATGGAACAGGGGTTTATGATAATAGATTGGGTTACTATAGCTTGCAATGTTAAAGGCGATTGAACTATGTTATAAAACAACTTCCAGTACATTATGATATTTAAAAGTATAAATTTTTGAAAATACGTATATAAAAATTTTTCGCCCGCAGGACGTGTATTTTGAATGCCTGGGAAGAACGCAAATGGGTACTGGCCCGGTGTTGCAATGGTAGCATTTAAAAATCTGTTCCTCTCTAGATTTATGGTCTTTTGAAATTATACTATTAATTGGTGTTGTTGCATCATTGCTCAAATCTAGAGGAGTGTTGTTGCATCTTCGGTTTGGTGTTGTTGCATCAATAGTGAGGAACTAAAACCGTGAACTTTTTGCTTCTTGATGATGCTACATGTATACTAATGACAGTTTCTTTAAATATAGATCGTGCGCTAACTTCACGTGTATGGTTATTGAGAAACTCGTCCTAGAAATGGGTTTAAATTGGGGAAACAACATATCGTACGAAAATCTATCACCGGAAGTCTGGCCATCTTGATGCAACAACACGGTGTTGTTGCATCACGATACTCCCCAGTGACAATAGAACGTTTTGATATTACCTTGGCCTAGTTACATAAATAGTAACTGTTATACATTTTTAGTACCGAATCAATGCTCCAGTTACCCTTGCGGACGAGGTGGAACTTGCCTAGACCGTCAGCTTTCATACCAATGTGTCTGTCATCCGGGCTTTACCGGTACAAACTGCCAGGAAGGTAAGTTCAAACAAACGTCCACAGTATCAATAATTAGGGAGTTTACGTTAGCGCTGTTTTGAATAACGTGTACATGAAACGTGTACACTCATGGTCCCCTATGGACTATTTTCATCTCACTAGCCTTTATTTGTCCGATTCAGTATGGAAGGTGTGAGGAAAATATCTGTAATAAGGTCCCTGTCTAAAAGAATTGATAGGTAGACAACACAAGGGGGGTATAATATTTTACATTCACGTTCAAGATCTCCTAAATGTGTGTTATTTTTCCTCTTTCAATTACAGTGCTTGAAAAGGGTGCTTCAAATTGAGATTTTTAGTTTATTTTGTCACATGCATGTCTCTTAAAATCTATTCACCGTAATAGACTAATAAATTATAATTTACGATGATTACTCATGATAATGATATGCTTTTTTCAATTTTTCATTTGTAGAGTTGGACTTCTGCTTTATTGCTTCCAATGAAACATATGGTTATAACAGAACTTGTTCGGATCACGGTCGTTGTGAGAACATACCTGGTGATTTTGTTTGTCATTGTGATGATGGATATACCGGGGTAGAATGTGAAACAAGTAATTGTTATTATCTTGATATCTAAGACCACATCGAAAATCAAGCATTCACCTAGCTTAAACACAATTTATCGTAGAATAATGTTCATCATGGGCGCGTAAAGTCAAATAATTTCCAAAGGACGATTCTCGGTTTGGAGAACAGTCTCTTGGGCTAATAATCTTTTTAATGAAAAATATAGAAATATTACCCAAATTAAACTATGAATATTCAAACGAGGACATTTAAATCTACAAGATGTAAAAATAACAAATTGGTCTGAAGCAGGGATAACGCTCAATTAGACCGATTCAATAAAATACAAGTCTCGATTTGGGGAAAGAAGTTCATCAGTGTACTGCGCTAATATTTTTTTGGCGAAAAATCTAGAAATATTACCCAAATTAAATTATGACTATTCAAAAGAGGACATTTAAATCTATATTATGTAAAAAAATCAAATTTGTCCGAAGCAGGGATAATGCTCATTTAGATTGATGAACTTCGTTCTCCAAACCGAGAATCGTCCTTTAGAATTTGGAGATTATTAATGATTGACGCATTTTTTACAGAAATAGACCCCTGTGACTCCAGTCCCTGTCAGAATAGTGCTTCATGTTTAAGAGTAGAGGAACCGTTCGGCTATACATGTTCTTGTACAGCAGGTTATATAGGCAGGCATTGCGAAACTGGTGAGTAGTGAGTGGTATCAAGACGCTTCACCCCTAGACTGTTCACCCTTCAGGCATTTCATCCCTTAGATATTTCACCCCTGGACTTTTCATCCCTTAGAATTTCATCCCATAGACGTTTCCCCTTAGACATTTCACTTTCGCTACCTAGACGTTTCGCTCCCTGGAGTTTAACAGCCTATGGTTGTCTATTGAATTGTCTAGGGGTGAAATGTCTAATGAAATTGAAAACCAACACCAACATCTGCGCAATGCATTTTACCCACTTTTAAAGCGATCACTTATTTTGTGTATCGGTGAGTGTATTTTTTCAGATAAGTTGTCGTATGACACAATGTGGGGTTTTCAGCTGGGGATCTCAATCTTCCTGGTCATCTTCTTTGTCGTTGTTGTTGCTCTTTTCGTAATGCTATGGCGCCGCCTGAATAGGGAGGAAAAGGAACGGAATTCTCAGTATGTATATCAATCTCTTGACCAGTCTATATTATATTATCTTGAAAGGTCAACTTACCTATACCAGCAGGTCGTTCAATAAGTTCATGCAAAATCATTCTCATTTTTTTATTTCCTTGAAACGTTCACAAAACATAGAAAAATATCTACTCATTAAAAAAACAAAAAATAAATTACTTTGTTCTGCTTGGTCAAAAGACTTTTTTATTCTAAATGAGTATACATTTTTTCTATGTTGTGTAAAAGTTTCAGGGAAAAACATTGAAAAATAAAAAAATGAGAATGTTTTTTCATGAACTTATTGAACGACCTGGTATATGCTAAATTCATAACGACTTGACAAGTTTAACTTCTTGTACTTGGCAACATAACACATGGGTCTTTCAAAAAATGCCTATATTTCAGATACCACTACAAACAATTTCAAAGTGAGAACACCTCTACGGACACTTCTGGTCGGCCCAATAGTGCAACTGACAGGTAATTACTATCCAGCAATGTTTCGAAGCCGTGTACATAAGGATATTTTGTTTGCAAATATGGCGCTTGTTCTTTCATTCTGTATTGTAAATCAAATTCATTATCAAACCATTTGCAGCAGATACCTGCACTCTCAAGAAAGATGCAGACGATCGAAAAGAACTTTCAAAATCTGTTAGAATGACATTATAAACAATAGATGATTGACATTTTTACAACTACTACTACAATGTTCAAGAGGTCACAAGAAATATTGATATTTTTCAAAACATAATAAGAATCTTTAATCATGATTGACCAGTTTGAGCAGTCATACAAACCCGAGATAACACCCTAAATATATAGCACAAAATAATTCATACCTCAGTTTTGCTATTCTGGCCAGATAATACTGCAAATGTAAGACCACCAAACTTTTTTAATTAGATTCAGGGCGCCCTGTGAATAGACCAATCAGATCGCGAGACTCATGCGAGACGCATGCGCAATAGCCTCGTGGAAGGGAAATTTCACTTTCATGATTAACATTGTGTATATAATCAGTTATCACTATCCATGTAGCTTCTCATTATCCGTATACTACTACTATTATTACTAATTCTTGTGTTGATCAATTTATCCACACTCTTCTTTTTGATAGTGGAACCTCGGCTGCCAAGAAAAATCAACCAAACTACGAGGTGATAGGGGAGAATAAAGGAAAATACGGAGTATATGAGGTCGCTGCCGCACAGAAAAGCAGATATAGAGGTTCGGAATACCATTAAATCATACGTTTTATTGCAATTTATTCTGTCCATATAGCGCAACGTTACGATGGAGCACATCGAATACGCAGGTCCCACTATACTGAAAACCCTATTATGTATTTTCCAGAACATTATATATAACGAGTACACTCCACAGATATTCAGAACTGGGACTCTAGTACCGATAATTAAAGGGGGTACGCGGGACACACTCAAAACTACTGATCACAGAGGAATAACCCTTATGTCTGTTATCCGAAAGCTCTTTGACAGTGTTCTTCTTTCGCGATACAAATCACGACTTTTGAACTGTATACCCCAACTACAAGGAGCTTCAATTGATGGATGTTCCTCTCTTCATACGTCATTGACCCTACATGAGACCATTGATTATAATACGTCACACGGAAGCGCAGTACACGTCATATTATTAGACATCCAATCTGCATTTGACACCTGCTGGATTGAGGGACTCTTCTACAAGTTATACATTAATGCCAAAATTAAAGGGAAGCTATGGAGACTCTTGTACAACTCATATCAGAACTACTTCTGCACCGTTCAAGTCGCCGGAACAATGTCAGAGCCCTTTAAAATACGCCAGGGAGTATTTCAGGGGGCCGTTAACAGTATGATCCTGTATCAATTTTATATAAGTGACTTATTAACGGAACTCCAAAGGAGCAATTTAGGAGCCAAGGTCATGGGAATGAATACCTGCTCCCCAGCGTACGCTGATGACATTGCATTAGTAGCTTTATTCCCAGGGGCAATGGACACGTTGCTGAATATCTCATTTAAACATAGTTCAAAATGGAGATACACTCTTCACCCACAGAAATGTGTCGCGCTAACGTATGGTAGCAACGAAAAATACGTATTTAATTTAGGGACGGACACGATAAAAAACGTCACGAAGGCCAAACATGTGGGCATACCTCTGAGTACAACCGGAGATTTTAGTGACCACACCAAGCACGCTATATCAAGTGGCAAAAGGAAACTGTTTTCGCTTTTTGGACTCGGTCATAAAACAAACGGCCTATCCCCCATTCTAGCCACTAAGTTGTATAATAGCTTTACTGTTCCTACGTTTCTCTACGGTGATCAAATCATCAACTATAAACAACGTGATGTTGAAATGATGGAAGTGGCCCAACGCGAAATTGGACGAAGGATACAATTTCTTCCCAGTAATTGCAGCAATCCAATGTCGACGATGCCACTGGGAATGTGTTCAGTTAAACTAAAGATGGACTATGACAAACTCCTTATGTTTTTCAGTATTATTACGCTTCCCATGACAAATATTTACAAACAACTACTGATGATGCGCTTTATGAGCATATTTATACAAGGAAAAAAATGGGATTCACCAATATACAGGATGTGGGATTGTATAAAACGTCACAATCTATTAGACTATGTGATCAATATGATTACCAACGCGAATTTTCCATCTAAATATACATGGAAAAGGATAATTAGGAATATAATAGGCACCAAACAGAGAAACGACTACAACACGATTTGCGCAATGTACAAGCGCCACGACATAGGTGTAAAGATTTCGGATGTCTCAACTAGTAGAAGTGGACTACTTAAACCATGTATATGGTGGTTACTCGCAAAAATGAAACCAGAAAATCTTCCAGTATGTAAAATTATGATGCGCCTCTCTACAGACTGCCATGAGCTGCGCGTAAAAAACTCTGGGCTAAATTGTATTTGCGTTTTGTGTAATACGTTTGAGGTAGAAACGATTGAACATTTCCTTAGCTCCTGTGAGGCTTACTTTGATGAACATGCCAGACTGACTTCTATTATAAATAAATACGGTAACCCTTGTGATTTAAAGAGCGTTGTATTCGGCTATCACGAACATATAACTGAAAATGACATGATCCAAATAGGTGAAATTGTTCTCCAAATGAGTATAAAAAGAGCTCGTTTAATGCGAGCGTACACTGGTAACCAGATGTAAAAAGGTGACCAAAAAACACTTTCTGTAAATAGTTTTGACTTTATTATGTACATGTATATGTGTTGTAAATTATAAAACTACTCTGTTTAACTACAGGTTAATAAATTAATAATAATAATATGAAGAATATAATGATTATATGTATTTTAATATGCAGTATTTTTTATATTGGACTTTAATTTATAAATAAATGCTATTGAGATATCATACATCTCAGTTTGTTTGTTTATTTGTTTCAGATGGGTTCAGATAGAATGGTAAATTCAGCAAAACAATCGTATGTACTAAAATAGCTGATTTTTGATGTCGTATTTAATGCAGATTTGACGACAATGGAAAGCTCGACAGTGATATTTTCTGAGTGCTCTGAGTGATTAAATGATTCTGGAAAAGCAAAATATATTGCACTGTAGAAAGAATGCAGTTCACGGTTAATATATAGTGAAAAGACCAGATTTAGTATGGCAGGTGATTTTTGACAGTCATATCTTTCACCATGAAAATATATGACTGCTATTTGAAATATACTACACCTTCTGAAGTAGTTTTTGGCAAATAATGTATTAGCATATTAGCAATGTATCAGCTATGGAGCTTATTGTGTTTCAGAGGATACACACTTTGTTTTGTCTGAAATTCTATCTTTAAAGCTATGCTAATATGAACACAGACATCACATTTTTAATAGAACATCAGAAATGTGATGTATCAGTTATCGAAAAAGACCCATATATATGTATATAGGTCCATCTGGTATATAGGACATGAGTAACCAAATGCCAAAGGCAAACATGTCATTGCCATATAACAGTAATAGGTCATCGCAATTTTTACACATTTTTCGGTTATCAAAGGAAGGAATATACCCGTAATGGCTGAATAAACTTTTCTCAACACACTTAAAGGGTGGTGAGGTGGTGAAGTAATGTATAGTATTAGCAGGATCGCGTTGCCTCCATATCGTGTCATTGTTTGCAAAACAAATTAATTCTATTGAACACTTCTCTATATCTTAAGAATAAAGAATGTGTATAGTATAGTCAATATTATTCCTTTTGTTAGAGTTTTTTAAGTGCCAGTAGTAAGTAAATAGACAAGGTACGAGAGATAAGTGTTTGCAAGGTATCTATGGTATGACATGGCTTGAGTAGACCCAGGCTAAGGAGACAATAAAGAACAAATAGAAAGTAGTCGTCGAATTGATCGAGGTATCCACGAAGCAGACACATCAAGTAAGGAATTTGTAGGTTAGTTTTAGAAATCTAATTTAAGAGGCAATGTATATTATATTAACATCATCGTCCATTTGAAGCGCTTTTATGTCACCACCACACGTGGTGACAAATTGTTTTAGTCTCCAACTTTTTGTGGAGTGTGTTTGGCGTCCGGCTGTTAGTGTTCGACATTCAGAGTTCTACGTCTGTACCAAATGGCAGGTGGTGACATTTGGCATGTTGATGCCTTGTTATGACATGTTTATGATTTCAAAATAGCTAGCATCTTTAAACCTATGTGACATAAAACGAACAATTGTGATTAAAGGTTCCGTAATGAAACCATCGAAAATTGTATCTTCATATTTTGTGGAGTAGACACACAACAACTTAGAATCGTTTAGCTAAAATGAGATAAAAAATCTGTTACTGTTATTATACCAATGTCTGGTTAGATTTTTATCTTGGAGGACCAGAATAACGGAGATCAATAGATGCCTTTGATATTTTCTGGATGCCTCCCTCTGTTGCACTACATAAATAAGTTAAAATAGAAAGAAATGTTTATATAACTATAAGGTCTACAATTGTCGGAAATTAAATGTTGATAAACGGACTTTAGAATTTCCTAAATCGCAGAGCAATTCTATAGGAAACTCTTTATTAAAGCAACATCGATCATGATTTATTCAAAAGGGTTCAATTAGTGATTTCTTGTGCAATTGAAACTATATATTGAACTATCAGCTTATGCGTGGTTACGTTTCAGGTGCATTTGGGCATCTAAAGCTTACAGCATCAGACGACTCCTGGGAAGACATACTTGTAGTATCTGGTAAGTAAAAAGTAGTTTCGTTTAATATAAAAATTGTATGGATTCAAGACATGCATACACAAAGACTTAAACATTATACCTTGTTGTTGTTGTTTCCCAATAAGGAGTTTTATGTTTAAAGAATATTCGAGTTTTACTGTTTTGATTTAGTTCTCATATTTTGATTCACTCTCCTTGCGGCAGTAGCATGCCAAAGGTTAAAGGAACACTTATGTTCTAAATTGTTGGATAAAACATATTATCCTACGATTATTGTGTTATCTGTACAGTAGCAGCTAGTGTTTTTTTGTGTTTTTTAAATGTCGTTTTTTAAATCATGATTGCTTCGCTCACTCGTTTGCTATTGATATAACTTAAAATGAGCTGATAGTCTATGTATATCGAAGATCATTTACTGGATTTTTTTTATGTCAGCACCACAAGTGTTGACATATTTGTTTTCTGTATGGCGTTCGGTGGCTGGCGTCTGTAATAAGTGGCAGGGGCCACACATTGCAATGTTTATTACAGTGATTCAGTGATTCGAGGCAGTGGATCGGAATCTATGGGCCATTTACGCATGCACTTTTATTTTCGCTTAAAACATTTGTCGATCAATTGTATGAAACCGTTCTTTATTTGCACAGAGATAGAAAATGTCGATCTTTTAGGAAACCAATTAAAATATCAGATCATATTCACGGTGACTATGGGCCGTTAATCGATTGTAGCATTACCAACAAAAGTGAAAAAACGATAGTACATATATATGCTTCTTTTAATGTTATTCCCTCTGGTATGAAATGCTTTCCTGTAAACTTCGATTCTGTATACTAAGTACCCTGAATAGAAAAAATATATTGACCACAAAAGATTCAAGACAGGTCTATCGGAGACTTCACATAGATGCTAAAGTTGGATCATTTTCGATCGACGCTATTTGTGTAACCACATTAGAACCCTTGTTGAGACTCGAGGAGTAGATTACCGTGTCGAGTTTGGAAGCCAATTCCAAAACTAACAAAAATACCAATGGATATTGACTCAAATTTAAGCCTTTAAAGGAGTAGTGGTTACACTTCTTTAGAACAGTTATTCCACAGTGCAAACACTTCAAGAACCTTACATCAACTATTAGGTTAACAGTATCATTGTTGTTCGGTATGGTCCTAACAACGGACACATTTATACACTCTCATTTAAAGGAGTAGTCTACCCGTGAATGTGTTCGTATATAGTATCTGCGTGGGTATATAAATTGGCGGTGTACTACGTAAATGCAATTCTTTTATACAATATATTATTTCAATCCTACCGCATGACGATCTTGTTGTTTGGCTCAAATATTACGCGTCAGGGCGTGAGTTAATTGTTCTTGTTTTACAGTATTAAGAAAGAACATGTTGGGATGGAACATCTCTTTAAGAGAAGTATAATACACATTTGTTACTTTCAGCATCACTTGGACAACATTGTTGGCATTATAGTTCAAAACTATTAGCTCGAAGAAGATTACCAAAGATCGCTTATTATATTCAACTCACTACCAAAGCTGGAAATGACAGACCAGGAAAAGAAATCCGTTAGACCTGTCTTTCAAAGGAAAGCTGGTAAGTGTCTTTATGGAATGCAAGCTACCCTCGTGGCTTGCACTACTATCATACTCGTTTATAAGGTATTGCGAGTTGACCTAATATAATTTTCATGTAAATGAAGATGCTGCTTTGTATCAGTTTTTACTTCAGTTGTTATGGTTTATGGTTCTTATGGTTAAGAGTTTGTGTCATGTTGTTACGTTAACAGTGCTGCAGTGCTAATTTCAATAAATGCATAATTTATATCGATTCTGAATACCCGATTTAAAAAATACATTCCAAGTGTATGATGTGTATAATATTGATAATTTTCTATTTGTATGTTGTTTAGGTCAGCTGGGGGTGTACATTGACATATATGAGACGACAGCTCTGTCTAAAGATGCCGGGTCTGCCCACTTCTTCCTAATGACCATGCTGGAAAAACTATACGATGAAATCAAAGACACAGATCTCTCAATTATCAAAGGCGCTTTTGAACGACAGAACTTATTAGAGGGAATCATTTTTGAAAAGATGGAAAAGGGTAAATACTACAATGAAAAAGTTTTAAATATTTTTCAACTTTAACTTATTAAATTGATGTTGTAGCACTGTTTGTAAACCTTTTCGAACGTTTTTGTTATATTTTTATAGGAATTATTTTGATTGTCACATGTGAGAATATTGACGCGTTAACGAACATTTGGGCTTGTCACAAGAAGAATGAAATCGCCCCTATTCTACAATCTACTTTTATTACTGAATCTCTGAAGAAGAAACTAGATGCCAAGACGCTTACAATAAGAGCAAAGGTATGTACCATCTGGTTGTACCATGTAACACATCCATATCAAATTCTTGCAAATGGAGCCGGTTGAACCATGTGTTAGTCTGCATAATGTTTGGCTACATTAACAAATTCAATTTTGTCATACACTCCCGATCTAAATAGACTTCAACACACTCTCGGGGCTTCAATACGGACATCGACTTGCCAATCTCATAGGGCGGGGAGTGTACTATGTACCTTTTGCTATCTAGTTTAACTTAATTTAGTAACTATGCTCATATTGTTTTTATTTACTATGAACATATGATGAGGTCATTAGTCATGGATGAATGCATGCATGTTTCTACAGCGATATTGTTCACTTTCATTAGTGGTATCCAAAATACATACGATGTTCATTTTAATTAAGTCCAGCCTTACTTAGTAGTTTTAACAATGTATTTATTATTCTAAACAGATTTATGATGACGAATACAAGTTCTGTTGTGATGAGTTGCTGGCGATGAAGACTTCGAACCTGACACTTGATCTCAACAATCTTGGTAAGCATCCCTTAAACCTGGTGACAAGTACATGTACATCATTCTGATACTCATAGCATCTCTCTCTGTTGCATCTCCAGAAGGAAAGAGATGGAGAGGGTGTGGCTTACCACGATGCATGTACATATGTTCAAATCAGTTTACGACAATCTGAACTGAATGTTTTCACAGACCATCAATATTAGACGAGTAGGGATTTGCCAAAAAGTGCTTATTTAAAGAAATAAAAGGATCGACTGACCCTGTTGGGTTTCTTGGTATTTTTGGAAAGCTTAACATGTCTACTACATATTCCAAATAATGAGAAGTTCTGAAAATGGTCCCATTGCCATGGAAACGGACGCTGATTAAAATACCTACTATTAACAGTATTTAAATCTCCAAAAACATGTTTTATTTTATAACTTTTCCATTTCTTATCCGTTTTAAATAATGTTGGTACCAAATGAAAGCATGTTGAGTGCCCTTTCGGATAAAGTATAATTTATGTAAATTAGCTCATTTGCATATCTTTTGTGACGTCATAATTGCAATTTTTCCTAATATTTTGAGCAAATTTTAAAATCAATGTTATATATACCCCCCTTGAATTAAATAAGCGCAGTAAAAGTGTAATATCTTCAGATAATATAAATGTAGGACAGACAGGCTTTATTTTGATATATAGAACATAGCTAAATCAGTCTAGATGATATAGCCTACATCCTTTTTAATTAGTACATAACTGGAAAATATACAGCTAAACGTAGACCTATTTTATGGTATTTTACAAAATATGAGCAGCCTTATTTAAATTATCTGGCCTTGAGATGGAAAACACTGATATTAGAAGGTTACCCCCAGACCCTACTGGGTCTCTAGGTATCTTTAGAAAGCTAAGCATCTCTACTACATATTCCACATAATGCTAAAATCTGAAAATGGTCCCGTTGCCATGGAAACGGACGCTGATTAAAATACCTGCTATTAACAGTATTTAAATCACCAATAATATGTTTTATTTTATAACTTTTCCATTTTAAATAATCTTGGTACCAAATGAAAGCATGTTGAATGCCCTTTCAGATAAAGTATAATTTATGCAAATAAGCTCATTTGCATATCTTTTGTGACGTCATAATTGCCATTTTTCCTAATATTTTGAGCAAGTTATTAAAATATAATATTATAAATATTGACTTGAAATAAATAAGCGCAGTAAACGTGTAATATTTTCATAGAAGATACATATGGGACAGACAGGCTTTATTTTGATATATAGAACATAGTTCAAATAGTCTAGATGATATGGCCTACATCTTTTTTAATTAGAACATAGCTGGAAAATAAACAGCAAAATGTAGACCTATTTTATGGTATTTTACCAAATATGAGCCAGCCTAAATAAAATATGTGGGCCTGATATGGAAAACACTGATATTAGCAGGTAGACCCCAGACCCTGATGGTATCTTTTGACAGCTAAGCATCTCGACTACATCTTCTACATAATGAGAAGTTCTGAGAATGGTCCCGTTGCCATGGAAACATACACTAATTAAAATACCTGCTAATAACACTACTGTATTTAAATCACAAATAACCCGCTTTGTATAACTCTTTCATTTCTTATCCGTTTTAAATAATCTTGGTACCGAATGAAAGCATATTGTAGGCCCTATAAGGTAAATCACAATTTATGCAAATTAGCTCATTTGCATATCCTTTGTGACGTCATATTTGATATTTTTATACCATTTTTATCAACTTATTATATATGTCATAAATCATCTTCTTTTAAACAAGTGTAGTAAACCTGTCATATCTCCATATACCGATTTGATGAATGTAACACAACACATCATCATTTTGATAAATAGAGTAGATCTCCACCAGGATAGGAAATACAGAATGTACCCTCTTTAAATAGTTCAATTATTCATTCCTGCGTGATATAGACCAAACTATACATATATTTTGTGGTATTTTAGGAAAAGTATTAGTTTGCCTCAATCGAAGGCATATCCAAACATCTTTTTCTGGTCTCATTTTTTCATCCCATTGACTTCCATGCTAAAAAAACTTGAAATCTGACCACCTCCAAATTCGAATAGTGAACACTCATGTTCGAAAAATTAACCTGTCTAATTTGAACACTTTTCACAAAATATCACATATTTTTTTTACACAATTGCTCAAATATTTCCAAATTTACACAAATTGGGCAACTCTCTACAGAGCATTTCTTATACCCCCCTGATAAAATATACAGGGGGTACTATAAGGCACCCTCATATCTCAGACACTAATAAATATATTAACTTGAAATTTTCGGGAGTTAGTTTTAGTATGATACTTCGTGAAGGAAGCACTGAAACCAGCTCCAGTAAAGACCAAACGGAGATACTGAACAGACAATATCAATCAGTGTTTACCAAAGAAGACCTGACGAAGATACCAACCATGAATGAGAGTCCCTATGCTAGCATGCCTGTCATAACATTCCAGACAGAGGGTATCCTGAAGCTCCTTTTGAATGTCAACCCAAAGAAAGCTTCAGGACCTGATGAAATACCAGCAAGGATACTCAAAGAAGCCGCTGTGGAAGTTGCTCCTCTTCTCCAGATGATTTTTACGTCATCCTGGTCAGATGGAGTAGTTCCCAAAGACTGGACTCTGGCCAACGTCACAGCCATCTTCAAGAAGGGTGATCCAACTAGTGCTGCCAACTACAGACCGGTATCTCTAACATCTATACCCTGTAAGATAATGGAGCACATTATCTTCCACCAAATTATGAACCATCTTGACAAGAACAGCATCCTGAAGCATTACCAACATGGCTTCAGAGGGAAGCACTCCTGTGAATCCCAGCTGGTCCTCACTGTAGAAGATCTTGTGAGATCACTGGATTTTGGTTGTCAATCTGATGTCCTTTAGCAAGGCTTTTGATACCGTAGCCCACCAACGGTTGCTTGTGAAATTAGAGTATTACGGCATCAGGGACAAGACCAAGACCTGGATCACAGAATGGCTAACTAGCAGAACACAGAAGGTAGTTGTAAATGGGGAAATATCTAAACCAGCCAAGGTAACATCTGGAGTCCCACAAGGCACTGTGCTTGGTCCTTTGATGTTTCTCCTGTACATCAATGACATTGGCGATGGACTCACATCATCTGTGAGACTGTTTGCTGATGACTGTGTACTCTACCGAACCATCAAGTCAGCGGCAGATGAAGCTGAACTGCAGAATGACCTCACCAAACTACAACAGTGGGCTGAACGATGGCAGATGGACTTCAATGCCAAAAAATGCTACACATTGAGAGTACACAGAAAACGCGAGCCAAGAACTGCCGCATACATCATGAAAGGCCAAGTACTACAGGATGTACCCCATAACCCCTACCTTGGTGTGGAACTAGAATCCAACATGAAGTGGACCACTCACATCAACAACATAGTGAACAAAGCCAACCGTTCCCTTGGCTTCCTGAGGCGAAACCTCCACAGCTGCCCACGCAACATCAAAGCCACGGCTTACAATTCTCTGGTCAGGCCCCACTTAGAATACTCTTCTTCAGTTTGGGACCCTTACCAGAAGAAGGACAAAGCACGAGTAGAGATGGTTCAGCGTCAGGCAGCAAGGTTTGTAACCAAACAGTACTCTAGGGAGCCAGGAACCATCACCAACATTTACAAAGATTTGGAATGGAAACCGCTTGAAAACCGAAGACAAACCAAGAGACTCACCCTATTCCATAAAGCCCTTCATAATGAAATAGCAATACCCATTCCCCCCTACATCGAGAAATCTAACAGAACTGGCAGAAGAGCCCAACAATTCATCCCTCCCTTTGCCAGAACTGATACCTACAAGAATAGCTTCTTTCCCAGAACAATAACAGATTGGAACAACCTTCCTTCCACAACCAGGATGATAGAAGACAGTACTGCCTTCCGTGATGCCCTGGTATCTAGTATGCAGGGTTAGCTCATGACACGAGACCTGTTTTTAGACAGTATTTTAATTGTACATACTGCCATTTTAGATTTTTAGCTTGGATGACTTCCAAAACTAATTGTGTTGCTCTATAAAGAGCTTTAATTAGTATAATGATAGATGTAGATGTAGATATAGACATGTGTGACAAAAATCAAGAAAAAATCTTTATCCGTTGCTATAGCAACAGTAACAGAACACTATTTGTGACCGTAGAAATGCATTATTTTGCTGATTTTCATAATTTTCTTCATATTCTTGATTCTTAAAGCATCTGAAGTATATACTTATCTATTATATACATGATTAGAAGTAAAGATGAAATAATTCATCATATGTTTTATGTAATATACATTTCAGTTGCTATGGTAACATCACTTGATAATCAGGTTTTTACATTTCACTTTCTTTAAAAAGGTGGTCCAAAATAACACTTCTTGAAAAGGTTATGATCCCAAGGTAAAAGAAAGTGCTGCTTAGAGATAAATAGTCACATGAATTTGTTCAAAAAATTATAACTTAATTTTACCCCATCTCGCCAACCACCAAATTTGATAATTTTGGTGAAACTGGCAAAATACATTAATTTACTAGGTCACCAGTGGCCCCAAGAAGCTATACAGGGGCCCCGAGTGGCCTCCAGAAGCTAAATGGTGGCTCCCAGGAGCTGTATGGTGGGCCTCAGTAGCCACAGAAGCTATACAAAGGCCCCCAATGGCCCCAAGAAGCTATAAGGTGGTCCTCAGAAGCTATACAGGGGCCTCTAGTAGCCCCCAGAAGCTATATGTTGGCCCCCAGAAGCTATACAGGGGCTCCAAATGGCCCCTAGAAGCTATATGGTGACCCTCAGAAGCTATACAGGGGCCCCCAGAAGCTATATAGGGGCTCCAAATGGCCCCTAGAAGCTATATGGTGGCCCCCAGAAGCTAAACGGGGACCCCAGAAGCTATACAGGGGCCCCCAGAAACTATACAGGGCCTCCCAGAAACTATACAGGGCCTCCAGAAACTATACAGGGACCCAAGAAGCTATATGATGGCCCCCAGAAGCTATACGATGGCCCCCCAGTGGCCCCAGAAGCTATATGTTAGCCCCCGGAAACTGTACGGTGGTCCCCAATATGGCCTCCAGAAGCTATACAGGGCCCTCCTGAGTAGCCCCCGGAATCTATACAGTGGCCCCTAGTGCTCCCCTAAAGCTATACAGTGGCCCCGGAAAGCTATATGGTGGCCCTCAGAAGATATACAGAGGGCCCCTAATAGCCCCAGAAGCTATATTGTGGGTCCCAGTAGCCCCAAGAAGCTTTACAGGGGCCCCTAGTGACCCCAAGAAGCTACATGGTGGGCTAAAGAAGCTATACGATGGCCCCAAGAAGCTATACGTTTGCCCCCAGAAGCTATACGGTGGCCCCCAGAAGCTATAGGATGGCCTCCAGTAGACCCAGAAGCTATATGGTAGCCCCTAGAAGCTGTACGGTTGCCCCCAATGGCCCCAAGAAACTATACAGGGGCCCCCAGAAGCTATACGGTGGCCCCCAAAAGCCAGAAGCTAAAACCGAAAACTATATGGTGGCCCCCCACTGTCCCCAAGAAGCTATACAGGAGCCCCCAGAAGATATACAGGGGCCCCTAGTGGCCCAAAAAACCGATATTGTGGCCCCAGAAGCTATACAGGGGCCCCCAGTGGCCCCCAGAAGCTACATGCTACATGGTGGGCTAAAGAAGCTATACGATGGCCCCAAGAAGCTATACGTTGGCCCCCAGAAGCTATACGGTGGCCCCCAGAAGCTATAGGATGGCCTCCAGTAGACCCAGAAGCTATATGGTAGCCCCTAGAAGCTGTACGGTTGCCCCCATTGGCCCCAGGAAACTATACAGGGGCCCCCAGAAGCTATACGGTGGCCCCCAAAGGCCAGAAGCTAAAACCGAAAACTATATGGTGGCCCCCCACTGTCCCCAAGAAGCTATACAGGAGCCCCCAGAAGCTATACAGGGGCCCCTAGTGGCCCAAAAAACCTATATTGTGGCCCCAGAAGCTATACAGGGGCCCCCAGTGGCCCCCAGAAGCTTCATGGTGGGCTAAAGAAGCTATACGATGGCCCCAAGAAGCTATACGTTGGCCCCCAGAAGCTATACGGTGGCCCCCAGAAGCTATAGGATGGCCTCCAGTAGACCCAGAAGCTATATGGTAGCCCCTAGAAGCTGTACGGTTGCCCCCAATGGCCCCAGGAAACTATACAGGGGCCCCCAGAAGCTATACGGTGGCCCCCAAAAGCCAGAAGCTAAAACCGAAAACTATATGGTGGCCCCCACTGTCCCCAAGAAGCTATACAGGAGCCCCCAGAAGCTATACAGGGGCCCCTAGTGGCCCAAAAAACCTATATTGTGGCCCCAGAAGCTATACAGGGCCCCCCAGTGGCCCCCAGTGGCCCCCAGAAGCTATAAGAGGGTCCCCAGTGGCCCCCAGAATTAAGCCCAAATTTTCACTGACAAAAATATTCACTGTGTTGTCAATCTGAAATGTTTCATGGCCATTAAATTTCACTGTTAGAGAAAATATCCAATTGAATTCAATGTTACATCAAATATTCACAAGCCTTTAAATTTAAAAGCTACACGATGGCCCCCAGAAGTAATACAGGGCCCCCCAGTAGTCTGATTGCTCAGATGAGGAAAGCCAATGCTTATAAAATGTAGACATTATGCCAAAATCTAGACTATGCCAACCCCTCTATTGTATGATTACATTAGTTTTCATTATGATGGATGTTCTAAATATTAAACTTACATACAGAATTGTACTTCTGCAAGATGACCACCAAAGAAGTCTGATTGCTCAGATGAAGAAAGCCAATGCTAATAAAATTTAGACACTATGCCAAAATCTAGACTATGTCAACCTCTCCATTGTAAGATTACATTAGATTTCATGCTGATACATGTACTGAATATAAAATTGTACTTACACATGATAACCACCATAGTCTAATTGCCCAGATGAGGGAAACGAATGCTTAAAATATTTAGACATTATTCCAATGTCTCGAATATGCAAACCTCTCTATTGTATGATTAAATTAGATTTCATGATGATATATGTACTAAATATAAAACCTCCATATAAAATTATACTTGTACATGGTAGCCATCATAGTCTGATTGCTAAGATGATACATTAGATTTCATGGGGATACATATACTAAATATAAAACTGATGGCATATAATATTGTACTTGTACATGATAACCACCAAAGTCGTATTGCTCAGATGAGGAAAACTAATGGTTATAATGTTAAGACATCATGCCAAAAGTCTAGACTATATGCCAACCTCATTACTGTATGAATTCATTAGATTTCATTTAATATACATGTATATACTACATATAAAATATGCAGTGTCCTATATACTAGTGTAATACTATATGCTAGTTTAAGAATCAAGAATATGAAGAAATGTTGCATGTTGCAAAATAATGCATCTCTACAGTAACAAATAGTGTTCTGTTACTGTTGCTATAGCAATGGATTAGGATTTTTTCTTGATTTTTTTTCATACATGTCAAGCATCATAGTAAAACTAATTCCTGAAAATTTCAAGTTAATATATATATTAGTATCTGAGATATGGGTGTGTCTTATAGTACCCCCTGTATATTTTATCAGGGGGGTATAAGAAATGCTCTGTAGAGAGTTGCATATGATACGACGTATGCTAGATAATAATAATAGGGAGGTTAAGATTGAACTGTTTATGGTCCCCTATTGACTATTCTCACATCACGAAGCTTTTTTTTCGAGTGAATATGAGGGTGTGAGAAAAAGTTGTTTAAACCAATTGAGAGGTGGACAGTAATTCCCGGAGGGTCGTAATTTTATGTGTTTACGCATTTACTTCCAAATTCTCACAAAAAGCGTATTATTTAACTTCTCTTATCTATATAGTTGCATATATTATCTTGAAGCTTCAGCTATATTCCCGAAAATGATTTTTAGTTCAAAATGTCCAGCTCTTATGTTTGATTTGAAGTTTCAATGTCGAAAAACTCACTTTTTAGTATTTGCGAACAAGAGTCTGGAAACATGTTTTACCTAGGAACAGTCAGAAAACTTCACCTTTAATTTATGCAATTAGTTGAAATTGTGGATTCTTTAAAATGTTTTTTTTAGTATCATTCTGTTTTTCTCTCCTCAAAGCAATTACTTATGTATGGTACTTGTGTATTGTATATATTTACAGAGAACGACAGGAAAATGTTGAGGATGATCAAAACTTTCCAAGAGAAGCTTGGAAATGAAATCTATAAAATAAAGGACGAGGAACAAAAATTCCACCAAGACCTCGGAGAGTTCATACTCATCATAAAACGCAATATGCCGGCCAATATGACTGACATTAAATCACTGAGTGGTTTCAAAAGCTACCTGAAGGAGATAAAGGGAAAACCTAACACCAAGATGGTGGTATTTGAAGCGTACATGTCCCTTCTGGAACGCCTTGGTGACATTCTGTCTGATATAGAACGTTTTGTGTGTCATCCTTTTGCCGAAATCCATTCAAAATGTGAAACAGAAAATCAAAGAAAAGTCAAAAAGGAAATAAAGAGGTCGTGCTGTGAAATGCAAAACAACCTTAAAATGGACAATAACCTGACAAAACTTCAACATCTCGAGTGGAAAAAGAAGATAGTCGCACGTGACCACAAACTAGTGCTCGGATTGGTCAGTCTTGTTCCATTGACAGTTGATGGGATTTCAGAGATTGATCAAAGTATTGATGAATATTTCTCTGGTATAAAGCCTGGAGTAAAATTATAATTAGAATTTATGTACGATTAATAAACATCTAATAACCTACTTTATGAGTAACATTTTCATTTTCCCCCTTTCCAATAAAACACGAGAATGAAGATGGAAATGACACGGGTCTGTTTTTGTTACAGCGGGTCGAATATTACAAGATAACTATATGATACTATAATAATATAAATTGAATATAATTACTTGCTGAAAATAATAATGGATAAGTCTAATGTCATGATGGTATCGATACAATAAATAAACTGAAAATATAAGTTTATCTAAGAAAATAATGTGTTATTTATTAGATTCTACACTATATATTTCATGTACTAATGTTAGTCACAATGTCTGCATTTGTTTCATAAATGCAATTTCTTGGTCAAGCTATCTTTAGCATTTCTTGCAATAGGTATTTGTAAAATGTGTACAAATCGCATTCGTGAGTCTGGTACAGAGTACTTTAATGATGGTTAACATGGCTAGGAATTTATGACAATGGTACAAGAATTTCTAAAACTACATTCTTGAATAATAAGGTTTCCTTATAATCGAATCATTTCCATGTGTTCTTATTCTTACGAGGGGTGATAAATAAGTGAATGAACGGACACTTATCACCGTTCAGTGTCTTTGATTGATTCATTGTGTTATATCAAACCGTTACTTATCAACTCCTCGTTTTATTCAAATTATCTAATCAGTCAAAGCTATGTCTGTTGCATTTCTTTCAATAGGTATTTGTACATTTTATCCCCATCACATTTACTCTTTCGACATTATATTCATGAGCCTGTTACATACAAAGAATAGTACTCTAACTGATGGTTCACATGGCAAGGAGTTAAAAATGTTATAAAATGATATAATTTCTAAAACTACATTCTTGAATAATATTGTTTCCTTATAATCAAATCATCTGTTCTTGTTTTCATACGAGGTGTGAAAAGTAATTCAATGAACATACTTATTATCTATCAATTTCTTTGATGGTTTCACTGTACGTGATTCATACCCTTAGTATTGTTCAAAGTATCAATCAATCTAAACGCAAAGCTTTTCTTTTTAATTCATAATCATAGATGCACGGTTACGTAATTAAAGTACTTGTATTGTACAAAGGCTCAAAACTGTTAATTATAAACTCAAGAAATAATATTACAAAATCAGCAGCATAGGCCAAGGGAAAAGTCATAGTAAGCTGTATATAGAAGAGACAGGTCCACAAGTAAGATTGAAAAATTTTCAAATTTTTTTAGTCTTGGCACTAGTTCTCCTTACTGGTATCAAATTGTATTCCCAAATCTCTCCAAAATCTTCTTCAAAGTGTTTTTCAAACTTATATCATTGTTTTTTTCAAATCTTTATCTAAAAACTGCATATAATACTGCATATAAAACAACAACTATGGATATCTGCAATTGCCTGGCAAGCTGAAACTGATTGTCACTGGTGGAGGTCAGGGAGGTCAGCAGTGACCAATCAGATCACTTGTTTACTAATGAACTTGCCAGGCAATTGCAGGTTTTCATAAATTCTCTCTTTTAGACAGCATTATTCACTCTACATCATCTGACTGAGTTTCAATCTTTGGTAAGAGCTACAAACTATTAATTTTCTATCAACTCCCCATGGCTTTTTGAAAATAATACACTAAAAATTGTTGAAATCTCCATCTTAAAAAGTGGTCTAAGTCAGAGTTGTTCACCTGTCTCTTCTATATACGGCTTACTATTACTTTACCCTTGGCCTATGATCAGCAGACTGTATTTTACTGTTCTAATTTCATATCACTTGTTTCTGGTAAATTTTGAATGAGGGCAAGTGACAATTATCTTAACTTTGCGCAGAAATATAAATCTCTATTGTTCTATATTGTCATTGTTTCCTACGTGATAGGCGTCTACTCTGGGATTCACTGGTGTTTGTTTACCGTTTGCCCCAACTCCAGCTGCATCTAACACCACAGTAGTACGCGCGTCTCCATGGGCAGCACACCCACTGAAAGCTACAGTGCACACCACACCCGCGTTTAAATCGTGTCGATCCTATGATATAGTTTAAAACATTTGTTTTCATATAATGTATATGTACAAAGAGATTCAATAGGGCTCTGATATTGAAGATTATTATTTTATCGATATGCATTATTTTGTTAACGACCAGTACTATTTAGACTTTAATAATCAGATAATAGAATAATATATCACTAGGTATATTCAAACTACGTACTTTTTGAGATATCAGTATTCATATGCTCATTAATCAATTCCTCAGGAACCGGCACGAGCCAATGCAGAGGTATCTCATCGCAAGCTTCGCGTATCGCATCGGACAGGAAACCTCGCTCAGCAACAGGCTCCTCAGATGGCATCAACCGGGGGATGCTTGAGTCGTTCTTTGGTTGCTCAATATCAAATGTCCCGTCCTTCAAATGAAGACTTAAATTGAGTCAGGCTATACCAACAGCTTCAGGTCAAGTGTTAAGTTTCAATGTTTTATCAATCAAATAATTACCCTATATCTATGTGTCATTCACTACATGTAGTAATTTATTCCTTTTTTAAGAATCAAAATGTAGCTGTTGGAAAGGGTAGCATACATTATCTATCATGATTTAAAATTGGCAATGCAAAAGCAGTTTAAAAGGAACGAACAAGCGTCAGTATGCATATCTTGAGATAATTGTGCATTAACAATTCAAATGTATTTTTCATGCAGAAAGGATCTTACCGGATGTGCCTCCATGTAGCTCTCAACAGCCTCTGGACTCATCTCTTCTTTATCGATAGTGCTGAGGAAGCACCCATAAATATTACCCATACGGGTACGCACTACTGTCAGTCCCTATAGAAATCCGAAATTATTTTGTTATCAAAATGATTCCAATATTTTTTGGGCTGGAATCACCTAATTCACTCCCAATAAAGTGCATCGCGTTCGGCTATCAATAGCTTGCACTTTGCCCTAAAGGGTGGTCCACAAAAGTGAACCCTTACAACAAGCTATATTTCAATTATTATATAAAAATTACCCACATTTAAATGGGCTAATATTTTCACATGTTTTAGAGGAAGGCCTGAAGTTTTTGCGGGTACCATAAAGGTCAGTCAGTCTTAAGTCTTGCAAAAGTTACATGGCATCAACAGATATGCCTGATAATGGATGGTGTCCTGAATCCATGCTCCGCCATTCTGGAATCTGGATAACTGCTGCAACGCGAATGTTGAGGTTTTTGACATACAAAATAGCCCTAGGCCTATGCATGCTACCTAGAGTGGGTAGAGCAGTGAACAACTTAAACATTCGCATGATTGAAGACTGGTTGACCTTTATGGTACTTACAAAAGTTATAGACCTCCCTGAATATAGGTCGTTGCAGCGCAAGAGTTCACTTTTGTGGACCACATTGTATATTGTAGACAGAGAAAGGCCTGACAAATGCACTCATCAAAAGAATACATGAGAGGTGATCAAGAATTTCGAACAAGCTGCACAGAGAATTTCAAGTAACCATTTTGGCCATCATGCAATTTGTAATGACAATGCGCAAGTTTTCCATTCCCCTGAGCAGCAGAGCAGCAACAATGAACAGATTGTAAACTATTTATTGATTATCAAATTTCTTACCTTGTTGAAATCGTGTAAGACAAAAGAGTGTTGTTTTGGGTCATCAATCTCTGTGGTTCTTTTCTCCTTATCCACCTTAACAGTTTCGGCACTTTCCCCGTCCTTTCCACCTTTCACGATCACAGAGTACTCCTGTGGTATTTAAATATACATATTCATTTAATATCTAAATCTTGATTTCCCATTGTATATTTACAAAATGATAATTGCGAAATACTATGAGACAAAATTTTAAAAAATACCTTTATTAAATCTTCGTGTGTTTCCCTAATCATGTGCATGGCACCGACGAGAGAGCCTACTACGATTAGCACAACTAGGACAACTGACACGCCTACTATGGTGTACTTCTTTGTATTTGTTTTGACTGGCGAAGGTGCCGGCATCTGTGATTAATAAAAAACACAAATGACACACGGTTATATGATACAAACACCTACGGTGTATACAACTAAACCTCGAAAACACATCTTGTGTTTCTGATGTTTTAATATTGTTTCATCGGAACAAGGATCAAAAAATAAAAAGTGATATAAAGAGATAAGCAATTAGCTAAACTCCATAACGAATGTGATTTTTGATATTTCATGATCACTATTCGGGCCTCCTAGACTTTCACTAACGCGATCATCAGTTCCGACCACGCGAACAAAGTTCCTTCCACCCGAAGAACCAGTTCCTCCCTGGTGTAGTTCGTAGTTCGCAAGGTCGAAACTGATGATCACGTTAGTGGAAGACAGTAGACCTTTTATTTTTATTTTATATTTTATAAAGCTACATGATGAGCGTCCTCAATAAAGTTTTTAAAACTCACTTGTAAATTATTAATAATTTATTATATTTTTATTAAAAAGTTATAATATTTTTATTGATTATTTATAAAATTTTCTTTGCAAACATTAAATATTATAGGATATTTTCCTAGTACCTTTTCATCAAAATATATTCGCATTGACTTGAGTGGAGAAATTTTAAAGTGTGTACCGGTATATACTTTTGTATTATATGCGTGATGTACAGTGCGTTTCAAAAAAACGCAGCAGATTGTTATTTCGGAAAAGCACAAAACCAGTGATAACAGCATTGATTTCATTGAATGCACAATAAAGCCATGTGTCTCCTCTTTACAATGATATATCATTCATTGATATTTGGTCATGGTTGTGTGAGTAATCATTCCATTTGCAAAGTGGGCCAAAATTAGCTTGGGACCAAGTTATAATTAAACATCGCAAAAGTCAGTGTACGGAGCCCGATGCAATATTGGAAGAAAACATAAAACCAATGCTGACTGCATCCCTTTCATTCGATGTACCAAAAAGCCAAATTACTCCTCTTTGCAATGGAATATCATTCATTCACAGGGAGTCATGGCTAACCTAATAATCATTAATTTTGCAAAGTGGGGCAAAATTCAGTTCGGACCCAAGTTTTAAACATTGCAAAAATCACTGCAAGGGGCATAGGGGCTGTTGGGAGAAGGTGTGACAGGTGTTACATAGACAATAAAGTGTTCATACTCATCTTGCAAGAATACATCCTATACCCCTCCAAATTGCCAGCACTTCCTTGCACATAAAAATGCGCTCATCTGTCCACGTCATGCATGGTTCAGCCATGAGTCATCTGTGGGTTAAAGCAGAGAAAAGCAGCCCATGGGCAATTCTTTCTCGAGGTTTTGCAATATCCGGAGGAGGAATTGTGAGCACAGATGCTCCTGAGATAGCTCCAAAAGAAAAAGTCACAAAAATTCAGGGGAACTTCCATTGGCACTAGATTAGCCCTTGCACTGATTTTTGCAATATCTAAAACTTGGTCTAGAGCCGATTTTGACCCACTGTGCAAATGGAAGGATTTCTCACCCAACAATTACCACATGTGAATGAATGACATATCATTGCAAAGAGGAGAGACGTGGCTTTATGGTACATTGAATAAAATTGATGTAGTCATCACTAGTTTTGTGATTTTAGGAGATAACTACTTGTTGCGTTTTTTTATACGCCCTATATAATACATGCATATACTATATAACTTACGTGTTCTGTGGTGAAGTTCTTTTCGGTATCACCTGCAGCCGTTTCTTTGCCAACAATGGAAATATCTGGCTTCATTTTTTCAGCTGAGTCGAGTTATTTGATGAAACTATCAATTGGTTTGAAAGTTGTAATAGTACTAGTTGTCTCCAAATAAAGAAATAAGGCGCGCACTGCGAGATCTCAACCCAGGGGCTTCTTTTATATCCAGGGCGCTACGCTCAAGCTCTGGTGCGTTCCTTTTCGATTGGTTGTTACAACAAGGAAGTTACCTTAAAAGGAAAACATCCTGGGTTCTGTTGAAATTATCTTTAATTAAATTGATATAACAATGAAAAGAATGGGCTAACCTGGCCTGGGAACAAGGTAACCTGACAGTTCCAAGAACCGTCAACTGTACCTGTCTTTGATATGGTGTTATTTTTGTCATTATTCATGCATTTTAGTCTTTTAAAGAAAGATGAGATCATTCCACAATATCATACGATTCCCACGTAGACAAATAGTCATCAGTAGAAAATAATGGCTGCTTTCGAATGTGTGCATCACCTGCTTAGTCTGTTGTTACCCTTGAATATCTGTTTCGATCGAACATTGATTTTTCTGCCTCACATGCTTTAAAAATATCCAATATACATGACCACGCCATCCAAGGACCAAAACCAAATGCAAAGGAATATGTGACAAGGAGGTCAAGGGAGTATATAAGTTCAATGACATAGGGTTGTTCAGTGGCTGAGAAACTTCCCAAATTCGAGAGGAGCAATAAGAGAAGTGAAAAGACTTTGACATACTAGTAACTAAGTTCGTGATTTAATTTCCTCTCCCTTCCTCTTCAATTTTTCTCTTTGAATCGTAGCGATTTATTACATGCAATTTGTTTTCAGTTTCCATTATCATGGCTTCAATTGCAAAAATGCATTTGGCAAAAAACTTTTTGTATTTTTGACCAGGCCTAGTAAAAGCAGGCCCATTGACAGATGTTCGAGACTGCTTTGGCGAACTGATCTCCGTGGATATTCTTCGGGAAGTAGAGAAAAGTAGTTTCAGCCAAGTTTGCGACCGATACTTTATTTCAGCGCGTTTGTGGAGCCCTAAATCGTCCCTCCTCTATAAAAAAGGTTCCATGTCCACTTGCACAATATTTGCAGAAAACGGAGAACAAACATCTAGGTTCCTCTATCTTTGTGATACAGTAAAATAAAATGTTGATATGAATGCTTATGGATCATATAGCCATGATGAATCAATCCTGATCAGGATCAAAGAAATGTCAATGTTTTAGCTATAGGCTACTTTAAAAAATGCATTTGGATACCTTTTGCATCTGTAACAAAAAGATCGGTTCATTTGATGGAGATGGAATCTTTAATAACCATTGAATACAGGGCTAGTCAATGAGATAAAGCTATCTTTTAAGAAGCTAGTCACATTATTGCGTAGGGTACGGAATCCTAGATCTGTTCAAGTAAATCGTACATCGACTTAATAGTACATCGCAGTTTTGATGATGGGGGGGGGGTTCTTCGAATAGGTTCGAGTTATAGTTAATGACAGCTTTATTTGACTCACTTTCAAATGTAGGCCTTACCAAATATGGTACTTGAACCTTTTATTTTCAGGATAACTTACATCCCTGTAGCAAAAAAAGTTCATGTTCATATGATAGTGCTGCGTATTTGTTTGTCAATCTAGGTATAGTACGCTTATTCTAGATTTCATAGAACTCATGAATTATTGTGGTCACGTATTAAATCCAATGATGAACGACTCGATGCCATCGTGACATGTCAATCATGCAATACAATTAAATATCAGTTTGATGAAAAGATACGTTAAAAATAGCATTCGGGGAAATATTCCAAATACGGATTTTCTTTCAGATGTTTATCAAAATACTGAGACAAACAACAGAACAAGGTTTACATTCAATATTTAGAAACCAAATTCAAGATGGTCGGTGTTTCTTAACAGCATTTTGCTTATCCAATGATTATTGTGCTATCTGTACAATAACAGCCAGTGTGATATTTTTCAAAAAATCGTTTATCAGCCAGCCCCTCAATTATACGCGGCTGATATCGCTGGTATCGTTTATTTTTTTTTGAATTTTTTGTCACCACCAGGAGTGGTTTATCCTTTACATATGTGTTACCATGGCAACAAATAAGTGGACTTGCAATAATTTAACAAGTATGCCTATTGTTACAAGTACTGTTTAGACTGAATTCAAATGTTTACTGTGAACATATCTAAACACGTTTTGAGTTCCAACACATTTCTGCCAATATCTGTTACAATGGCAACAAATAAGTGGACTTGTAATATGTTGTAACCATTTGCAATGATATTTAACAAGTACTGTTCACACTGACTTCAAATTTTTACTGTCTGACTGTGAATATAAATAAACGTGTCATTGACTGTGCTAGTCGAAATCCATGGATTCAGTCCTGCACATGTTACGTATCATAAGTTCACACATCTGTTGATTTTATTCCAAGATCAAATTCAAATGATTCATCATAATGATGTCATATACAAGTATGACGTCATCTCCAAACATTATTTTTTAACAATCAAAATATCAAAAGTAATATGTTTACTGAGGCACAAATATTTTAACTAAAGGACAAACAAAATCAATAGCAATAAAACATGGTTCACGAGGGGTAAGTCATCACGTAACCTTTTTTGCTGCTGAGACTGTAAGTATTTCTCGATTTAAGAAGCCATTTTCCAACCAAAAGTTAAGATTCTTGAGTTATTAGGCCTACTGTTTTCGAAAATTGATGTTGCTGGAATAGCTTTGTGAAATACATTATTTTGACTAATTAAAAGATACTTAAAAACTACATGTAATTAATCATAAATGCCTACGCTACCCCTAACCATCAGTAACGTACAGCGTCAAAATTACCGCCGCACCAGTTCATCTGCACGTTGCTGTTTGGATCGCCAGGAATTGACTTTATCATTGATTTTATCAACACTCTGAGTCAATTCACATCCAATGATTCTCTGCATTCTTTCGGTGATGGAGTCGCCAATATGTATAACGACTTCAGATCTAAATGATCTCATGATTTCATGATTTCAACATGATTTCCTTGTTATTCATCGACCCATACCGTCAGAAATCTTTATTTTTGCTGAATTTCGCAAAATCCTAGATTTTTGTTTTGTTGTGTAGATAACAGTAAAATTACGAATAGCAGACTTGAATATAAGTACACACATATACAGTATAGAGAGAGGGTTTATGTCAAACTGCGTTTTATTTTGGATGTTATCATAACCACTATGGAGGAACGTGGTGCAAAAACACTGTTTTGGCATCAAGATGGCCAAGCTTCCGGTGATGGATTTTGAAAGATATTTTGTTTTCCGCATTTAAACCAATTTCTCGGACGAGTTTCTCAATAATCGTATACGTGCAATTAAGAAACGATCTATAATTTTATAAAATGTTCTTAGTATTGATCTAGCATCATTGAGAAGCGAGAAATTCACGGTTTTAGTTCCTCGCTTTTGATCCAAAGACACCACTCTGTTTATTATCAATGATAAAAAACATCAATGAGCTGATCCAAAAACGCCAATATAATTACATTAGAAACATATATTAATGTTTACATGTGTTGGTGGTGCATGAATGAAACGCACGATTCAGTGGTCCATGAATGAAATGCATCTTGTCCGGTTTTAAATGTATTTGTATCAAAATGGCACGGAGATTAACCAATTATCAAAATGGTCCAGTAGTAGAGATGCCCTGTTGTGAAATTGAAAATCCATCACGCAAGAAAATATTCGAAATACAAATCATAGCCAGCGAATGAATTACATTGAGGGCCTAACACCCCAGTCGCATTTCCCACGGCCGCCGTGCGGTCTATCATTTCTGCGGCCAGTAGCTTTTCTACGCTGAACAAATATTATAACTCCGAGTTATAATTTCTACGGCGACCCTGCGGCCTGTAAAAAACTGGATACGCCGTACGAAGGCCGCAAGGCGAGCGTAGTTTTCCTACGCTCGGCGCAGAAATACACTGATTTAATTGATCTGCGTTCGACGTACGGCCGCCGTACGACAAATGTGACTGGGGTGTTAGTAAATTATTGTGGCACGTCTGACTAAATTACGGTGGAGTTGCGTCTGCCGATTGGTTTTGATTGGTAATGTACTCGGGCTTAAGTCAGATTTGCTACGGCAACCATACGGTCTATCATTTCTGCGACCAGTAAAATTCCTACGGTCTCATTTCTGTGGTCATAAACTTGAGCAGTCACATTTGCTACGGCAGCCATGCGGCGTTTTTTGGTCATGAGGAGAAATGAAAACTACGATGATGATGATGCACGATCATTTAGGGCGCCCTACGGCGGGTAAAAACCTTGATAAAAACAAGGGTAAAAGCAAGCCTGCCACAGGGGCCCTATTATTATTTGTAGGCCCAGAAGCAAATCTACGGCTGCCGTGGAAATTCTTCGGCAGTCACATTTGTTACGGTAGCTGATTGTCCTACGATCCTACGATCGCCGTACGGGCGCCGTACGTTAACAATTGTAATTGCGATTTACAAAGGTCAACTAAAACCCAAAATACAGAAGGATAGCTGCAAGTTGATCATATGCTCGACGGACGGTCAATATGGAACTTTTTTGACTTTCTATTTGGCTGCGGCTTGTTAACTTCTACAGTGGCCGTAGAAATTAAAACACACCCCGGTCCATGTTTGCGAAAAAATAGCTCAGATGTGAACATAATCGTCGATTTAGTGTTGTCGTCTGAACTATTTGTTCGCAAATATGTACATTTTCTTAAACATATGATACTGATACACGTTTGTGATAAAAAAATGTCGTGGGAATTCTGCCTACAACGTGTGAAATAAGGAAAAAAGAAAAATCGTACCTTCGATGTCCCGACATTTTGTTACCGAAACGAACCGTTTCGGTAACGAACCGTTTCGGTAACCAGCGTAATCGAGTGGATCACCAGTGACCATTTGACGTCAAGATAAATAAAGATGCAAGAAGTATGTTTACATCGATAAAAGTACCTCAGAAACTAGATGGTTGATTTTGGCGGTAGATGGCGGTAAGCAAGAGAGGTGATTCTGAGGTCATCTCTGAGCTTTGGAGGTTCCCTCCTCTGTCTTGTGTCTTCAACCTTGAGACCTTAAAGCATTGGCCACATTTTCTGAAAAATTCTAAATATAACTTTTATATATTTTTCAGTCACATTTTCAGAGGGCTATATGTGACAATGCCCATTGTGATTAGGGCCGTGCCATTCGACCGGAATCGGTCCGAACCGCGGACTTTTGTTAAAATACCGGAATTCGGAATTTTAATATCATGTTCCGAAGGGTTTCGGAACAATATCGGACCCTTACCTTAGTACTTGCTTTGAATCGTTAATATCCGTGACCATTGTTCCTCCAGTGATGTTTTCCTTCAAACTACATCCAATTTGCATGTGTATTACTCGCATAAACAAAATAAATAGCGGAGAAATCAACAGAAATCAAGTTTTGTTTTACGAACTTTGACCTTCGGATTTCATTGGAAGTAGGAATCGACGGGGCGAAAATACTCATAGATAAATGAATAAATTTACTTTTCCATGACGTCTTACAATCTAACAGCGTTAATTAATTACATTTTAACTCTTACAATATCAGATTAATTGATTTAGAAGAAATTATCTTCCCCATGACAGATTTTCCTCGAGTAGTTTCGTATTCGTTTATATTTTTGTAATATTTTCATTTGTGAACCAAAAGGGGTTCCGAAAGTTCCGATTCCGTGAGACCAAGTTCCGGTTCCGATTCCGAACCGTCCGAACCGGTTCCGGCACAGCCCTAATTGTGATCCTGGTTGTGTAAATTATATATGGAACAAGTAAAACTGATCAAACAGAACTTAGTTATCTTAGTTCAAAAAATCCAGCATATTTCAGTTTTGTCACTTTCTGTTAACTATCATTGGACCTTAACGAAATGTTTTTTTATAGGATAGGCATTTCTATATACTGTGCATAGGTTAACAAACCCCAATGGACGGATCAATAACAAGTATATAGCGAACACAAGCTTGTACCCTAAAATAACTGGTGTGTTCAATAGTAATACAACGCTATAAGCTACATGTACTCAGTGCTTATAGTAAAATACTTGAAATACACTAAGCCTATACGCATACAATCATACATCACAAAAATGCCATCGACTAAGAGTGCAGAGGAAAAAGATGGAGATTTTGCAGGTTTCTTTTCGACAGTCGACGAGCATACGACATCTATTGTCGCAGCGGTGACAGGTACGGTGTTTTGTAATTACAAAGTTGAATCAATGCATGTCATTTTTAGACAATTCCAATTTTGCTTCTTTAAATATCTGGCTGATTTTATTTATTTCACACATACATGTCAGATTTAATTCACTTTTACCTGTATCTTATATTTTAAGTCTTAAGTCAAAAGTATTGACTTAAACACTTCAAACCGAAATATATGCTGAACGTTTCTAGTTAAGTGGTAAGAGTGCTCGATAAAAAAACAAGCCTCACAAACGACTACTTGCAAACATACAAAATAAGACTGCATAAATATCACTATTGATTTTGGATAGATGGTAGCATGGAAAGATATGACCTCGAGTCACGTTTTAGTTTTAGTTTAAGGAATTTCGCGTTCAATGGTAAAAAATATCCAATCCATTTACAAACTGTTGGTCAGAAGTCAAGGTATCTTGATAGTTTTTTAAACATTGCCAAAGCAGAAAAATGGACATGTATGATTACTAATAATCATTGATTAGTACCAAAATGAACCAAAACCAATATATATTAAGCTCCCGGGACTAGTCTAGAACTTTACATTAATTTAGTATGTACAGTTATATATACATAGAATCAAAGCTGGCACTTGAATGAAACGTTTGTGGTAGTAATAAGGTTTTGATTGGTTTATTGACTTTATACACACGGGCAATGGGGGGGATCAGAATACTCGATATGTATCAGTGTGTGATATATGATTTACATGTACGAGGATATAGAGGCGCTAACTCATTTGATGAAATATGATTTCCAGGTACAATTCCCAGTTGGATTAAAGGTGGATTCCTTCGAAATGGACCTGGAAAATTTGAAGCTGGTAAGGACAAATACAACCATTGGTTTGATGGACTTGCTCTGTTGCATCGGTTTGACTTTGACAACGGTGTTGTAAAATATCATAGCAAGTTTCTGAGAAGTGATTCGTACGTACAGGCTTTAGAGCAAAACAGGATCGTTATTTCAGAGTTTGGTACAGCAGCAACACCAGATCCTTGTAAAACCGTATTTCAAAGGTTTGTATATTAAGGTAGTTCTGCACAAATACTCACACATTTATTGTGAAATCATTGAATTCTCATCATGTGAGTCTAATTTAATTAATTTCGTTTTTGTGCTCCATTATCCTCGCAACCGTGAACAAGTGAACAGTTACGTTTCATTTTGGCATATTGGTGTTTATCGTTTCTCAGCTTTACTCCCCGGCTCTTATTTTACAAACAGTTAATGAAAACACAGAATGAAATCCTGTGCTAAGGGCTGATGTGAAAAAGTCAGTCCACCCCAGTGGGGATCGAACCCATGTCCCCTCGCTTTCCGGAAACCGTCACCAAATTATTTAAACGTTTTCTCTGATTGGATTATTTTTACATAATTTTCTCAAGATATAAATAACCCTATGCATTAAAAACTGTTATGATAGATTGTATCAAAATATGTGTAAATTCAGAAACGCAATATTTTCACTAAGGCCAACTTAGGATGTCCTTATAAATTCTGATAAAGTGTTTTCACCCTTCAACGCAGGTGTCCAGATTCCAGAATCCGTATGAGTTTGCGTTTGATTTCACGATTTGGATTTAGCTAGGACGTAAATAGAGCTTGTCCAGTATAGGGTTCAGGATATTGAGCTTACCCCTTGGCCAATATAATATATCTGCCCCCGGGACGTCCTTAGCCGATAATTTGATTTGTTTATCCCATCATGCCATTCTTGTTCATGTCGTGGTTCACATGACATTGTTCAATTGGCTCAATTCAAACAAGGTCTTACAAACCTACTGTATAAACCTGAAATACGTCCAAGTATGGGAAAAAACGAAGTATACTTATTTACTTTCTATTATCTTGTTCACAATGAAAATGTCAATGCAAGTGCTAAACTAGAATCTGATGCATTTTCTTTCAGATTTGTGTCTCATTTCAAACCTTCACCCGAGGAAATAGCGTCAGATAACAATATCGTTTCTATAACCCGAATAGGAGATGGTGTGTATGCTGCAAATGACACTGTGATTTTAAGAAGGATAGATCACAACAGTTTGGATACCATTGAGAGGGTAATGGCTTAATACAAAAACTTCAAAAAATATTTATTAATATGTCCTTTTTATTTATTCTACAAAGTAGATCGGTTAAAGTTGCCCTAGTCCTATTGTAACAGCATGATATTATATCAAGTAGAAATACAATAGAAAGAACAATATTTGGAAATTGTTTATCGAAATATGTTTATGTCACCACCAAAAAGTGGTGACATATAGTGGTGGTCTCTGTTTTTTGACGGCGGTTGGTGGTTGGCGGTTGGTGGTCGGCGGTTGGCGGTTGGTGGTCGGCGGTTGGCGGTTGGTGGTTGGCGTCTGTAACAAATTATTACAACTTCCAATAACTTAACAAATACTGTTTAGACTGACTCAATTTTTTTTCAAAATCATCTACATGTTTTCAGAAGTTCAAATCTGACTTTATATTTAAGATTTGACCTTCAATGACCTTTCAAGGTCAAAAAAGGTCAAAAAGGTTTTATTCAAAATCATCTACAAGTTCTCAACAGTTCAAATCTGACTATAGATTTGACCTTCAATGAATTCGCAAGGTCAAAAAAGAGTTGACCTTCAATGACATTCTCAAGGTCAAAAAAGGAATTTTTCATCTTGCTTCATATTTCCAATAAATAATCATCTACATGTTTTTAGAAGTTCGAATTTGAATTTATATTTGACCTTCAATGACCTTTTCAAGGTCAAAAAAGGTCAAAAACGTCTTTTTTCAACTTGCTTCAAATTGACCAATTTTTTTCAAAATCATCTACAAGTTATCAAAAGTTCAAATCTGACTTTAGATTTGAGATTTGACCTTCATTCCAAAAAGGAATTTTTCATCTTGCTTCATATTTCCAATAAATAATCATCTACATGTTTTTAGAAGTTCGAATTTGGCTTTATATTTGACCTTCAATGACCTTTTCAAGGTCAAAAAAGGTCAAAAGTGTATTTTTTCAACTTACTTCAAATTGACCAATTTTTTTCAAAATCATCTAAAAGTACTCAATAGTTCAAATCTGACTATAGATTTGACCTTCAATGAATTCTCAAGGTCAAAAAAGATTTGACCTTCTATGACATTCTCAAGGTCAAAAAGGTCTTTTTCTTCTTGCTTCAAATTGACCAATTTGTTTTCAAAATCATCTTCATGTTCTCAGAAGTTCAAATCTGACTTAAGATTGAACTCATAATATTGTGAGCAACTAGGTGGTGACATTTTGTCATGTTAATGCCTTGTTTCTATTTTCATTGCTAAAGCAACCCATAGTTTCATTTATTTCCACTTAACTCATATGTTTGGTTTTATAATAATTTCAAAAATGATAAAAAGGATCCACCTTATCTGCCATTTTAATTAAGATTTCAAAACTGTCGTCACATCAACTTCATTCAACTGTTCAACATTGTTAGTATAGGGAGGCCTTGGAGAGACATAAACCGAGCATGATTTTTATACAATTGATTATATTTTTGTAATATGTTGAATAACCACTGCGCATCTATTTCCTTATAAGAAATCTCTAAATCTTCTTCTTAGTATATTATCTGACATTTTCTATACTACAAGTATACCCGTAATGCTAAGGCAGGCTATTGAGCAGCCATTTTTGGGAAAAGTAGGTCAATATGGCAGTTAATTAAATAACTTTACCTATCAACGACCTCAATTTTGACCAACTATTTTTGGAATAGGTTTCCTAAATATTATGGATAACACAATCTATGACTAAAGCATGATCAGCCTCTTAAACTGTCACATTGCACAGACCAACTTAAAATAAAGGTGATCAACGTAGAAATTACATAGTAATAATATTTTCTAATCGATAGGTGGATATGAGCAAACTGATCACTATCCATACATCTACTGCGCATCCGCACACCATGCCAGATGGAACTTATTACAACATTGGAATCAACTTCAAGGCAGGCTGCTATCACGTCATTGAGATAGCTCCGGATTCAAAGAAGGATGACCCAGTTGAAGGTGCAAAAATTCTTCATACTATACCAATGGAAAGTCGCATGCACCCTGCATATTTTCACAGGTTTGTTGAGCAAAACTTTGTTATACATTGTATGCGTAATTTGGCATGGGTGTAACCAGACACATATAAAACATGTCTCTGATGTAACTAACTATATAATGAGGCAAACTCTTTTTCGAATAAAATTGAAAAAGTTATGTCCAATAAAAGTATAACCCCCTTTTTAATAAGGTTTTGCAACGCCTATTTTTGTTTCCTAATTAGCCATTCAAGTGTAGTTCAACTGGTCAAACTTCTCGATTTCTCACAGTTACCTTTTGGCGATTTAGGAATTGTAAATTGTATATCTGAATACTGATTATGAAGTTTAAACTAATATGTATGATCGATAAAATACTTCTCAAGATCCAGATCAAATATCCTACAATACAAGTGCACTAAAGTCATCGTATAGGGTATGAGCGACCAGATCAAAAGTGTATTCTCCATTTTTTCAGTTTCAACATGTCTGCCAACTATATTATATTCCACGAGCAGCCATTGAGGTTTAGTATGTTTAAAGTAATGACCTGGAAACTCTTCAAGTCGGGGGTGGATGCCTTGATGTCGTTTCACAAGAACCTCAAATCAAATTTCCACGTCTGTGACAAGAGAACGGGTAAGGTGTGATTAAACTGTTTGAAAAACGATGTGTCCTAAGTATAGCAGAGCGCCAACCCTCATATAGTAAAAAGCGGGATGTAGTGTTTTGGGTCTGATATTCTAAATATGTCATTATCAGATCATGCATGTTGTCTGTAAGATTATGCACAACCTCATTATAAATTCGGTAAAAACTTTGGGCTAAGTAATTTTCAAGATCAAATCGTATACGTGCATATCCAAACGCTAGACCCATCTTAAAAACGAGTTTTTCTTTTAAAGGTGAAGTCTTGCCATTGAAATTCGTATCCGAACCATTTGTCCACTTTCACGTTATCAACTCATACGAAGAAAGTGGACATTTAATCATTGACTTGTGTGGGGCTGGTGATTCATCAGGATTCGACACTCTGTATCTGGCCTATCTTAAAGGAATTGTAAGTAAACGTAACTTTTCAACTTTACGATTATATCTTCTACCTATATGTAGATATGGGTAACACATTATAGCAATAGTCTGTTCAGCTGATATATTGAGATTTGTAAAAGAATCCAGAACGCAATTATGTAATGCCCGTGCATCTAAACCTTACAATAAGGTTTACATCGGGTGTCCCCAAAATTGAATCGCTTTTTGACAAGTGTTTTCTCAGCAATTGATTACTCAAATTCATTGAAAATTTCTATAGGCCTTATTGTATCATTAATAAGTCGAAACAATATGAAAGAGATCAGTTACATATTATGTGAGAATTGACAAATTCAAAATTGCATGTCAAAAAATCCAATATCAATAGAAAAGCCACTTATTTCTGAAAGAAGCTGTTTTTGGGTTGTGTGACATGCATTTTTGAATTTTCTCTTTCATATTCGTAAAACTTGCTAATGATACCATAGGGCTACTTCATAGAAATTTTCAATTTTGAATGATCAATTGCTGAGAAAACACCTGTCAAAAAAGCGATTCATTATTTTGGGACACCCGATATAGACAAGTCAATGGGCACCCACAAGCCCCCATAGTCCAAAGCTTATATTTTCAGGCTTCCAATTGGTTTATGCATGGGCTTAAAGTTATCGCATACATCTGAGATTTTCAAAGACGTCTTTCACTGCGGCATTAACCGCGTTTGTTAGACTTTTGGTATAATATGATGTCAATTCATGTAAACGTTCATTCAATGTATTTGTAAAGTTTTTTGATCATGATGTATTGCAGAAAGTGGACGATGAAGAAAGCTACAAAAACAGTAAGCTGTCCAAAGCCCAACGATCTTGGCCCATACGATTCGTCATACCTCTTGATGTAACGAAGGAAAGTCCAAAGAATACGAACTTGATCACTTTGGCAGGAACAACAGGTAACCGGTGATATTATGTCGAAATTAGGAAAACAAATATATATTTCCAAGAACGAAATCTACTGCACTCTTTAAAATAATGACGACCTCTTGATATTCGAAAAATATTTTATTCCGTTTAATGGAATTTGTATGATTTCCAGCCACTGCAATGTTAAAGAAAGACGGAAGTGTGTACCTTACCTGTGAATCCCTTATTCCCGAGGACCTCCGAAGCAAGACATGCGGAATGGACTTTCCACAAATAAACTATAACTTTTACAATGGAAAACCGTACCGTTATTGCTACTTCACTGGGTTTCCAGAATTTGTTATCCCGCCTGATAAATTGATCAAGCTCGATGTTAAAACAAAAACTACACAGGTAAATGTAAAATGTCCTGACTGTTGTTGTCTTATGATAGAACATCATGTTTGCTTCCATTTCAAATCAGAAGACATTTTGTATAATACACGTCGCACGAAACTGGGGACAATTAGCGTAACATTATGGCGTCAAAAAACCAAGACAAAACAATTAGCAGCATAGGGCGCAAACAGCCTTACAACGTCAAAAACGACAAGCGTCACATTTTTGTCAAGTTTAGTCAACCTAAAAATAAAATACTTTATCCTTATCTAATCATGACAAAATTCACAGGGTAGCAAGATCTCGAGGACAATATTTCTGAAATGTTTTTGAATTTTGGAAAACGGTCAAGAAATCGACTTGGGGCGTTGGTAAAAATTGATATGTATGGAATTTGTGGTAGAAAATCGATGCGTCACATTTTTTTCAAGTCTCGAAAACCAGCTCTTATTTTAATATTATTTGCAAAATAAACAAACTGGTTATTGTTTTGTAAATTTCGCCATGACAATATTGTGCAGTTAATTTTTCTTTCAAATCAGACTTGAATTAGAAGGTTAAATGAAGGTAAACTTATTGCTCGTCCCATTCGCCTTCAAAACCAATTTTGACACAATTTTGAAAATTTTAAAAGCGTTCATATATGATAATTTGAACTGTAGCCGTTAAGGAATTGTGACGGCATAAATGAACATGTTCCATTGAATAAATTGTGAAATTTTAGTGGGATTTTGATCATTATTTCAAAAGTTATCCCAATTTCAATGAGCCCTGTAAGTGTAAAGTGTTACGTCTTACAGCGTATTTGACGATTTGGGGATATGTTTAACTTTAAAAATATGTTGGATCCCATCAAAATTTTGAAGAAAAAATAATTTCACTGAAATGCGAATAAAAAATACTTCAAAATGATATATAAAACACATAGCTAGCTTTTTAAATAAGGCAGAGATTAACGCTCAAAGCTGAAATCAGCCCGTATTTCCCGAATTGTCCCCAGGTCCGTGCACGTCATAATAAAGCTATCCTCTCAAAAGACATTTTATATAAAGCTATCCTCTCTTCATGAGATGGAACTTAAAATGTAATTTAACGTTTTTTCGTGTAACGTAGAACTACAGGGCGTTATAATGAATAACAACCCTTTGACTACAATCGTTATCTCACCACCATTCAATGGTGTTAACAAGAAGTTATTTATTTGAAAAAAGAAAGATGTAGGCCTATTTATTAGTTTCTGATACCTGATCCTAATCCTGTAGTCAATGTTTTATGTCAATTTTGGTCTCCTCCCATCTTGTTTGATTTTTAAAGTTTGCAAAATACTTTGTAGATTTGGCAAGAAGATGAGTGCTATCCATCTGAGCCTATGTTTGTTCCTGCCCCTGATGCTACAAGAGAGGATGAAGGTATGAAATAAGCATAAGGGAATGAAGAAGTTCATTTGTTGTAATCTAATTTTGGTGAACGCACGCAAAATGATATAATAAGTAATTAGCAATAACTATACGTAACTATGCATGTAAACCAAAGTTCTTATGATATCGAAAATCATTAAAAACACTGTTTTGAGTGATATTTTTTGTACACGTCTGCAAATTCTTGATTTTACCATTGTCTAACCTTCATCCTAGGTCTAATTCATTCTCTTCATAAGATTGCTATCATTACTTTTCACAGGAGTTGTGTTGTCAGTTGTCATCAGCCCAAACAAAGACAAGCCAACGTTTGTCTTAGTGTTAGACGGAGAAAGTTTTAAGGAAGTTGGAAGAGCGTCAATCCCATGTGATATCCCTCTAGGAGTGCACGGAACTTTCATTTAACCATTGTTCGTCATCAGTCAGATGAGCACGCAAAGGACGATGCTAAGCTGGCAATGATTGTACATTAATTTAGCTTGAAATGACGATTTCCGATTTATATGATGATCATGACATATCGATAAGACGATATACAGTATTAACTAACAGAGCTAGATTTTCAGGTATAACTCAATCATATTTATAAAGTTGAATATCAAAGATAACCGAAATATAATTGAGTTTGCAAAACCGAGTTGGTCTTTGGAGCCCGGGGTTACGTAATCCCTTGATAACAAATCACATGTATGCATAGTATATTCATTGAGCCTAGACAACAAGAAGAGGTATCTGGCAGAGGTCCGTGATCTAATCATCAAATATAGATACGGAGGTCGTTTTGAGTGATATCATTTTTATCGACGAGTAATTGATGCCAAATATCAACACGAGTGAGCGAGGCAAACGAATATTGATATTGGATATTATATTTACGAGAAACTTGGAATGCAAAACCATTTTATTCCAAGCTGAAAATAATCTGATAGCTGATAATCAGGTATATCCCATGATCAAAATTTGACCAAAAATTAAAAACAAATTCACTTATTATACAACTGTGTGGGTGATTAACGATATGACCCGTATATGGGGCTGATAAACGATTTTCTGGAAAGTATCCTAGACGAATCGCCATAATATCAGAAAAACACTGGCTGTTGTTCAACACAATAATCATCGGCCGGACAAATGAAGGTATTATGACATCACAAAAAAGAACATTTCATTGTCTTCGATGTTCATTTGATTTCAAAAGTTATAAAAGTAATAGTTTTGGTCTCGTTACTACAGCAAACATTTTAAGTCTGCCAAACAAGGACAAATATAAAGAATTATGAAACTGCTCTTTATGCAACAAATAACTGCCAAACGATAGGCCCTGGCCTACTATAAGTTGAATTATGGAATTGGTTGAATTTCGTTTTCAGCGTTTATGGGTATTTTAGAAGCAATCGAAGAAGATGGCTCTCATCCTAGAATGCGCAGACGGCCTAGGTTCTGTGTGTCTGACACGGCACTGGACTACTCATGTGCAGGAAACAATGGCCTCAACGGATGCCACGAAGATCGCCCAACAAGAAATAAAATAAGGCGACTCCATGGCCCAAAGTATATCCCCTTAGCTGACTACCTTTCCAAAAACGAGGTAACGTCAGAACACGATGAAACTGCATTGATGGATGACAAACACCCAAGTGATTTTTCAGTGATTAGAATGGGCTTTGAACAGCAGTACTCAAAGATTCCAGAATACTTTTTTTTTTTTTTTATTTATCATGTTTTATTTAATACAATAATATATGTAAAAAGAAAATTTCCAAAAAGGCGACTTTGTTTAACATTATAAGTCGCAGGGTTAATTATAAAATTTTATTTCAAAAAACAATCCAATTGGTGAAGCAAATTGGTGAATAAATTAAGCATAGAAGGTTTGATAATTGCTGCTAACACTCAGACACTTACACACTTCTGGAGAAAAGAGGCACTAGTTTCAAGAACAGTTATGTTTGTAGCGTAGTTAAGTTTTGAGCTGCCAAAAAGAAAGAAATTCAATTTCTCTTGTTGGGTCTTAAAATTCTTTTTATATTGGATTTCAAGGTTATTTAGTTTAATTTCGAAGTCAGTTAGGAGGGTCCTACGGAGTCTGCAGTTAAAGATGACATGCTTGGATGTTTCACTTTTGAATCCACACTTACATTTTGGTGTATCAGCTAGAGTAAAGTTGTGGGCATGAAAATGAGATTGAAAAATCAAGTCGACTCTAGTCCTATTAAGACTGATTTCCTCTGGTCTAGGTAAATGCAATGAGGTAGATGATATGATAGGTTCTGGATAAATGAGAAGTGTCAATTTAGATTTGAAAGTACTTAAATTGTCTATCTCTTGGAGTTGTTGGGGTAGTTTGTTCCATTCTGAGATAGCAGTAAAAATGCATGTTTTCTTTAATATCACAGATCTTTTAGCGGGCAAGACAAATTCAGTTGGATTTCTCAAATAGAGAGGAGGTTGTTGTCTCTTATATTTATCAAATATGTTTTGAACATATGAAGGAACTTTCTGATTTTGGACATTGAACATGAGGGTTAGTCGATGAAACTTCCTCCTCATCTCTAGTTTAGGCCAATTTAGAATATTGAGCACCTTTTCAGAAGATGACCCATGAATAGTTCCACTACAAATCAGAGCTGCCTTGTAGTAGAGTTGGTCAATGCGTTTTAATTTGGAAATATCTGCACATCCATAGAGGATGTCGCAGAAATCAAAATGTGGTAAGATAAAAGATTTGAACATAAGATTTAGATGGTTTCCATTAAGTTTTTTACTTAATGCTTTAAGTGGATTTAAAAGCTTATCAATTTTCTTTGCAAGATGAGTAATGTGGAAATTGAAAGATAATTTAGAGTCAAGGATAAAGCCAAGGTGTTTATGCGAAGCACACCTAGGTATGGATTCAGTTCCCAATTTTAGGTCAGGGGTTATTATTTCATTCTTTTTTGGACTACTAAATGTCAGATCATCACTTTTAGAGGGTTTGAATTTTAATTGCCATTTATCAGACCAATTGTTTATAGAATTTAGATCAGATTGGAGGGTGTTTATACATTCAGGCATATTATCATGGCTGAAGGGCTGATAAAGAGAAGTGTCATCTGCATACAGAAAACACTTGCTTAAAATATCATCAGGTAAATCGTTTATGTAAACTAAGAATAGCAGAGGTCCTAAGATGGACCCCTGGGGAACTCCCGAATTGATATAGTCGCTGGCTGACCATGGAGATTCGTGACCGTCAATAAGCACTCTTACTTTTCGATTGGTAAGATAAGATTCAATAAGTAGCATTATATTTGGACCAAAACCGTATGCATGTAGCTTCTTAAGTAATAGCTTATGGGGTAAAGTATCGAAGGCGGCCGATATATCAAGAAAGACTGCACGAACATCATTACCATTATCCATATTAGAAGTTAAAAAATCAAGAATACTTAGTAGTTGGTGTTGTGTACTGTGACCTGGGAGAAATCCACTTTGAAAATTAAATAGAAGATTGTTTGTTAGCAAATGGTCAAACATCCTTTTAAAAATAACTCTCTCGGCTACCTTTGAAAGGCAGCTTAATAGAGTTATTGGACGGTAATTAGAAACAAGATTTTTGTCACTTTTTTTATGGCATGGGATAATATTCCCTAGTTTCCATGAATTAGGAAATTTTCTCATTTCAAACATCTTATTGAGAAATTTTGAAAATAATTTTGATAAAGATGGAGCTGCTAACTTGAGCATTTTATTACTTAGCTTGTCAGGACCTAAAGCTTTGCTAACATCGAGTGATAAAAGAATTTCATAAATCTCTCTGTCATTTGTTGAAAGGATATTTAAAAAAGAATCAGTTCTAAGGTCAAATTGAACACTGTCTGTATCTACGTTATGATCAGAATGAAAATTTTTGATGAAATGGTCAAGAAATAAATTAGCCTTTTCTGTGCTGGTGAGTATAGAAGAGCCGTTTTGGTTGGTCAAAATAGGAATCCTAACAACTTTAGTTTTGAATAAAAGTTTAGATATGACCGACCAGTAAGACTTGCTGCCATATTTAAGGGAGTTTAATTTCTCATACATGTGTGATTCATACTCAAGTTTGGCCTTTGTTATTTCCTCGTTAACAATATCACACTGGTCAATGTACTTTTGATAGCGTTCTTGATTGTTGTTGTGGCGGTATTTGAAATGTAGACGATTCCGTTTATTAATTAGTGTTTTAATGTGAGGCTTGAACCATGGTTTATCATTGCTCCGAACCTTTATAAGTTTATTTGGAATGGTATTAGTAAATATTTGGTAGAGTTGGTTAGTAAATTGATCACATAACATGTCCATATCATATGAATTTTCAATAAGTTGATCAAGTCAGTTTGAATTTCTAATTGAGTCGTTGATATTTTGAACATCAGCCTCGGAATATGACCAAATTCTACGGAAATATGGCAGTTCCTTTACTGTACCAATAAATGAGGTACAGACTAAAGTGCTGTGGTCAGTATTTCCGATTGGAGGTGTAACATTTGAAGAGGATATAAGATTTGGTTGATTAGTAATAAGAAGATCAATGCAGGATTGGCTTCTATTTGTGACACGAGTTGGTTGGTCAATTAACTGCGAAAAACCCAGACTTTGGAGATGGTTATTAAGCTCATTTCCAGAAAGGTTTTCATTGTCAGCATCCCACCAAATTTTGTTACGAGCATTAAAATCCCCATTAATGACAAGCAGGTCAACATTGGCATTAGTCAAAATGTTGGAGCAGGTATCATAAAATCTTTTAAAATATGCTTTAGACTGTTGAGTATCTTGGGAAGGGGAACGGTAAAAAACTCCATATATAATGCTCTTGTGGTGGAGCTTAAGTTCAATAAATAAGGCATCTCCCTCAGCATTAACAAAATCATGTCGAGCTATAATAGGGATTTCTTCAGATATATAGATAAGTAAGCCACGATTTTTAGCCGAGTAAATTGGAGGATGGAAATTAGGAATGGAAAAGCGATTGGTAATTTCATCTTGGGTAAAGGTTCCGACTTCACAGAGACCTACAACTTGGCAATCTTCTGTTAAGATACGTGTTTTAAGAGCATCAAACCGAGCGCCAAATTGAGCACTGATGCTATTTATGTTGGAGAACAAAAATTTTACAGTTGACCAGTTATGAGGTCCAGGATGTGATTCTATGTCGCCACTTAAAATAAGTAAGGATTCAATGGTGTTGGGTATATAGCAAAGTTGAGGAGTAAAAACAATGATAAGAAGCACAAATGAAGTGATAACATATATCATATTACGCAAACTATATGAAGTTGCACTACATGCAACTTGGACATAATTGATAATACTTAAGACTAGGAAGCCCATAATATTTATATAAACAATAAACACAGTTATGAGTACTAAGGAAATCATATGCGGTGAGAGATTAAGCAATAAACCATTGACCGTTGTAAGGAGCAATAGTAATCCAGTCAATAGTTGAAAGAGTACTTGAAGCATTTGGCATTTACTAGGTTTGGGAGAGTCAAGTAATTTATTTGTACTGCAGATACTACTGAATAGACCAATGGCTCTACGCCAAGATTGAGTATCTATGCCCATTGCCTTATTAAGCAGTTAGCATAAGAGAAATATACATTTAAAAAAAAAAATCAGGTTGAGGTATGGAAAGCTAAGATGAGAACATACGCTACATTCTTCTATGTAAGTTTCATGAGGAAGAGGTAAACAAAGTGTGTAAGTGCCAAAGTGAATGAACCTTTATTAAGACTATGACAAGTTTTTAACCTGTTAAATAATAGATGGCAACTAAGTTGCTATCTTGCAAGTGGTTCAGAGTCTGGCAGCAATAAAATAAGAAAGGACCAGTGTGTTTCACCAAGGAGGATTATTGGCTTGGTTTGCAAGGGAAAAACCTTTGTGAATGGGTCACAAAGTTTGTAAGTTGGTTCAACAAACAAAAGGAACTGGTGTGAAAACAAATTAAGGTTTTCAGGATCACACTGTGATGCAGCTGGGTTATGAAGATGTCAAAGATCTCTACAAACCCAACTTCAAGAAAGATAGACGAGTTTGGCTTCATAAATCATCCTCTAAAAAACAATTAAACACTATGAGTATGCCCAATGACCACATGCAAAACGAACCACAAGTGCAAGACATTGGCGTTCAATTAGCAAAGAAAGATTCACGTAAATGGCTTCGAAAAATCATCAGATAACAAGAAGGGTGCTATTGATGAACGTAATGATTTTCGATCCCATGACACGTTTCGAAATCATAGTAGCCCCCCAAATAGAACTGTTTTCGATGTGGGTAATAGTAGCCCGAGTAAAAGCGTTACACTGATCAGCTCTTCCGCAAGTCTGTATTTGAATTCTTCTTTTGAAAATTTGTATGTTGACACTGACGAGGATGTAACGGCTTCCAAAAGTAATGATTCGGTCAGGTGTCTTCCCGATCTCGACAATGATTGGTGCATCGTGTAAGAAAAGACAGCCACGAGATGCATTTGATCTGATCAAGAGCAATGGAGTACTAGTAATTGGGTAATTAAAAAAATGACAATTATGTGAGTTTCATTCCACATTTCATGGAATGACTCAAATGTAATGCGTTATTGCTCGTTTAGTAAAATAAATGACCAAGCAATTTTATAAGAATTTTTGTAAGGTTTCATTTTGAGCCTAGAAAACAAGAAGAGGTATCTGGCAGAGGTCCGTGATCTGATCATCAATATAGACAGTGATAGATAAGTCCTACGGATGTCGTTTTGAGTGATATAGTTTTTATCGACGAGTAATTGATGCCAAATATCAACACGAGTGAGCAAGGCAAACGAATATTGATATTTGATATTATATTTACGAGAAACTTGGAATGCAAAACCATTTTATTCCAAGCTGAAAATAATCTGATAGCTGATAATCAGGTATATCCCATGATCAAAATTTGACCAAAAATTAAAAACAAATTCACTTATTATACAACTGTGCGGGTGATTAACGATATGACCCGTATATGGGACTGATAAACGATTTTCTGGAAAACATCCTAGACCATAATATCAGATAACACAATAATCATCGGCCAGACAAATTATGATATCAGTGTATTATGACATCACAAAAAAAGAACATTTGATTGTCTTCGATGTTCATTTGATTTCAAAAGTTATCAAATTGAAGTCAAAGAACAGAGCAATAATCGCCTCTCCCTTCAATTAAATAAAGTGGTAAGTAATAGTTTTGGTCTCGTTATTAAAGCAAAAATTTTAAGTCTGCCAAACAAGGAGAAATATAAAGAATTATGAAACTGCTCTTTATGCAACAAATAACTGCCAAAAGATAGGCCTACTATAAGTTGCATTATGGACTTGGTTGAATTTCGTTTTCAGCGTTTATGGGTATTTTAGAAGCAATCGAAGAAGATGGCTCTCATCCTAGAATGCGCAGACGGCCTAGGTTCTGTGTGTCTGACACGGCACTGGACTACTCGTGTGCAGGAAACAATGGCCTCAACGGATACCACGAAGATCGCCCAACAAGAAATAAAATAAGGCGACTTCATGGCCCAAAATATATCCCCTTAGCTGACTACCTTTCCAAAAACGAGGTAATGTCAGAACACGATGAAACTGCATTGATGGATGACAGACACCCAAGTGATTTTTCAGTGATTAGAATGGGCTTTGAACAGCAGTACTCCAAGATTCCAGAATACTTGAAGCAGCTGGGTTATGAAGATGCCAAAGATCTCTACAAACCCAACTTCAAGAAAGATAGACGAGTTTGGCTTCATAAATCATCCTCTAAAAAACAATTAAACAGTATGAGTATGCCCAATGACCACATGCAAAACGAACCACAAGTGCAAGACATTGGCGTTCAATTAGCAAAGAAAGATTCACGTAAATGGCTTCATAAATCATCAGATAACAAGAAGGGAGCTATTGATGAACCTAATGATTTTCGATCCCATGACACGTTTCGAAATCATAGTAGCCCCCCAAATAGAACTGTTCGCAATGTGGGTAATAGTAGCCCGAGTAAAAGCGTTACACTGATCAGCTCTTCTGCAAGTCTGTATTTGAATTCTTCTTTTGAAAATTTGTATGTTGACACTGACGAGGATGTAACGGCTTCCAAAAGTAATGATTCGGTCAGGTGTCTTCCCGATCTCGACAATGATTGGTGCATCGTGTAAGAAAAGACAGACACGACATGCATTTGATCTGATCAAGAGCAATGGAGTTATTGGGTAATTAAAAAAATGACAATTATGTGAGTTTCATGACTCAAATGTAATGCGTTATTGTTCGTTTAGCAAAATAAATGACCAAGCAATTTCATTAGAATTTTTGTAAGGTTTCATTTTGATTTTAAAACATTCATATTTTGCTTGAAGACGATATCTAATGACCTTTTTGAGAACAATTTTTTAAGATTACACGATTATGAATAGTCTATAGCTACAAGACAGCTGTTCTTTTTATGGCTAATACCTTATAAGGTAATGCACATATTGTGAGTCCTATTTTCCCCTGTAAACTTGGCAGGGGCAGATCAGGAGGAAGTCGAAAGTGAAAACGTTGGAGCATGCTTGTGAAGAATAAGAACAACTCTGTTCGTGCTAGGGACTCCCCTAGACACATTCTTTTACCTGAAAAACAAAATGAAAACAATTAGGACTTATGAGAGTCTCGTGACTAGCAGAACTCTGAAGGTACAACCAGTAAAAGTGAAACGAACCCTTATATCCAAAGCAAAGATTAAAATAAAAACGCAATGAATCAGCGTAATATACCCCAACCCTACCATAACATATTCACCAATCCATCACGATCCAAAATCATTTTGATTTATCAGAGCCCTATCGAACAGTAAAGCTGTGTTAAACCCACAATGATCCAAAATCGTTTGACCATCGTTCGGAATGCTTATGATTTGTTTCTGGTTGGACTCGTAATTGCTTCTTTTCTATCTGTGTTTTATTCTGTTTTTTTGCTCTGTATCTTTGACAAGGGAAATAAAGATACAATAAACAATTTTTGTGATGTCTGGATACTTTTTACTTTAGATTATCGCCCTAAGCACCCTTTGCACTCTTTTGGCCATGGACTGTTCATGACATTATCTTTTGGGACAGATATCAAAATATTCCAGTACTTATATATAACCGCGTAATCATATAAATCATGCAATTATACAGGAATACACTTCCATGGTTGTCAAACGTTTTGAGGGAAGTGTAGGACACTTACCTAGAGAAAATGGAATGAAGTGTGCAGGTTTGTTAACTTTCCCCTTGTCATCTAAGAAGTTTCGAGGATCGAATTCATCCGGATTCTTCCAGAGTTTACTGTCTGCTAGGGCTGCCCATATGTTCGGGAAAATCATTGTGCCTTTTGGTAGCATATACTGTCTGAACTTAACATCTTCTGTTGTGGAATGTGGTAAAGCAAATGGGATAATATTAGCAAATCGTTGTATTTCCATTATACAAGCGTCAGTGTATGGTACCTTTGGTTTATCAGCCATAGAAATCATTGCTTCTGTTCCTATGTTATCATCTAGTTCTTGGTGGATCTTCGCTTGGATATCCTGATTTATCGCCAGATAGAGGATCCCCCATCTTAATGTGTTGATCATTGTATCTGTCCCTGCAGCAAATAGGTCGCTTATTACCTCCAGTAACTGATCATCTGAAAAAAGAGCCAGTGTGTTATTAGAAAAAACATGTAAGAACACGTACCCTCGAAAGAAAATGTTCATGTACCATAATTAGTATCGATAGTATAAACAGCAAAATAATGCAAATAGCGTTATAAAACGATACAATTTATCATTATCATAATCATTTTCCATTGGGTAAATCATGGGCATTCAATAGCTATTGAAAGCCAATAGGTAAATACATAAATGATACCCTGTAAGTCTTTTCCCCCCGGGCTTTTCCCCTATTTCTTTTTCCCTATACTTTACCCAAAACCTCCCACAACATAACCGTCGTTCACTTACCTGTAAACCCATGTTTCCCAGGATTGATCTTCTCTTGGGCTGCCATTTCCTTGAGGTATGCATCCAAGAAATCTTTTATATTTACAGGACTGTGAGTCTTTTTGTGTTCTGCGATAGTTCTCTCTAGAAACTCGGTAAGTGGTTCATCATTTTCAAGAGCCTCTTTAAACTTAAATGGATCCCCGGGAATGTATTTCAAAAATGGAAAATAGTTCAACACAGACGAGGCTCCAATGTGTTCCACATTTTTATTTAGATATTCCAGATACAGTTGAATGTCTTCATTATCGTATGTGACTCTTTCACCAAAAACTAAAAGGCAGATTATATTTGCAACTGCTTTTCCAATAATATTCCACATGTCAAAGGCTACTCCATTTTCTTTTTCTATCTCAGCTAGGAAGATCGTAATTTCATCTTGTATCCTGGGCTCCATATAGGTTTTTCCCATACCAAAGTCCTTTAAGACCCCTAATGCAAAATGCCTTTGCTCTTTCCAAAGTGGCCCCTCGGATGCAGCAAGACCTGTAAGATTACCCTAGAGAGATTAACCCTAATAAATACCATCATCTAGAAAGACCGGGCTTCTTCATGTTTACAGTTTCTAGTATTAAAAATGAAATGGGGGGGGGGGATCATGCAATGGAGGGACTTCCACATTTATACTCACAGGATGTCAACGCTTAATTTTCGTAATTTGATGAAACTTGCACTTTAATCAAGACAAATAAAAAAATCACATGATTTATCTTTAACTTAAAATGGTCGCTCTACACCAGTCAGTGTTCGCTGTATTTTTCACGGTTACAAAAAAATATTTGACTTTTAATATATTCATCTATAGGGTTAGCTAGGCCACTTGGTTTAAAAATATTGTTTTGAAAATGGTGACACTCAAGAACATTTCACTTGAAACATACATACAAAATCAAGTAACATAATGTTCTCTTCATTATGAGCTTCAACACTGGTGATCCACTCGATTACGCTGGTTACCAAAACGATTCGTTTTGGTAACAAAATGACGGAACATCGAAGGTACGATTTTTCTCTTTTCCTCATTTCACGCGTTGTAGGCAGAATTCCCAAGACATTTTTTAACACAAACGTGTATCAGTATCAAATGTTGATAACCTTGGAAAATTATTTAGAAAAAATGAAGTTTTTGTTTTTGGGGAGACTGATGGATGCACCCCATGAGTCTGTTCAAAAGCAACTTTTTGTGCGCAGGGTTAGTAGTTACACTATCAAAACAATATGTCATGAAGAATCCAGAGGATTTATAGCTGATATCAAACATATAATTCAGAAGTATGAACATATTTCAGAGGGTTTCGACAATTTTATTGAAACAGGTGAAAAAATACCTAAGCGATTATGGAAATTGAGGGTAAATGGTTGTATTGACTATTCTGCTGAACAATTATATCTTCATCAAATACAGTCAGATAAAAAGATTAGGCGCTTTTCCAATATTCATCCTCATTTAAAGCCTTGCATTCACTACACATTAAGTAAGAAATACCCAGAAAATCTGTGGTCAATAGCACACCTGCTTCAACTTTCCTTGATTGAGGAACACGAAACAAACGTAATATGTAAAGCATGTAATTGTGAATATATAGATGTCACTAAACATATTTTGCTAGATTGTTCATATGTTAGCAATGTGAGAGACGACTTGTTCAGTGAAATTACAAATGTACTTGATGTAACAACATCAACTTCACTCCTTAATGGCGATGAAGAAGTTTTGATTGAAACGCTGTTAGGTGGTAATTCTGATATTCAATTTATTAATGATGAAATCTATGAGCAGTTTATTATGATGTCATGTAAATACGTTAACAGAATGATTAAATTGTTATATTCAATAGAACTTTAACTAAATGAGACGTCCAGGAGCTGCTCGTTGTATATTTTTCATGAGATACTATATATTAAATACTGAATATAACGATTTAATGTAAATAATTGTACATTATACATGTTTTTCCTTTTTTAGCTAAATAGCTCAATATTGTACTCTTCATATATGAAGGAATAAAAGTTATACTTTTAACCCAAACCGTTTATGTAACTTAAGTGAGGAATTAAATCGACGATTCTGTTGTCTTTTGAGCTATTTTTTCGCAAACATGTACATTTTCTAAAACATATGATACTGCCATATACGTTAGTGAGAAAAACGTAAAAAACGTCGTGGGGATTCTGCCTACAACGCGTGAAATAAGGAAAAAAGAAAAAATCGTACCTCCGACGTTCCGACATTTTGTTACCAAAACGAACCGTTTCGGTAATCAGCGTAATCGAGATGATCACCAGTGTACAAGTGCATTAAGCATATCTCTAGGGGAAGGCTATTCATTTACCTAACATTCCGGCCATATCATCTGTAATGAACATAGGCGGCCTTCCAGCAAAAACATCTCCTTGTCTTACAAATGCTTCCTTGATAGCCGCGTAACTGTTCAGCACTACGACGGGCTTCCTACCCATCCTGTGAATTTTTTAATACGATATATGTTTTTTGAAAAAACGTTTGATGTGTTGAATAGAATATAGCATGGTAGTTGTATTCATACTTGTTAAGTCATACTTGCTGATGAGACACATTTAGCATTACCTGAGAATAACATCATGATGGTCTCAAGCATTACGGTTTGCATATTTGTTTTATTCATCAATACTAGTAATATCAATTTTCAGTGTACAACAGGCAACTGACACCCATATATATGTATATAGTTACATATAATTATATAACATAATTGTATTAATCAAGATAAGATATAAAACTGTTTTTATAAGATAGAAAATTAGAAGAAAAGTACCAAGAGAAAGAAATATACATTCATATGAGCTATAGCTAAATGTTATACAGTTCAATTTAATTACACAATCGCAATTTACATTTACAACCTATGATTAATACAATTTACATCACATGATTATCAATTTGAATTTTGATAATTTACAATTACCTCAACGTGAAAACATCTCCATATTTCTTTCCAAGTGAAACGCATGTCTTATGAAGCTCTTTTCCTAGAAACGGGAAATTGCCAACTATTGGTAGAGCAGCTGGTCCAGGTGGAAGTTGTCCTCTCGAGTTATAATACAGAAATATAAGTCCACATATTAGAACGACAATTAAAGTAACAATTGAGACGTGGAGAGTCGTTATTGAAAGTAACTCCATCACCATCTCGCTTCTCAGTTTAAATGAACTGGCTGAGGAACTACATGCAACAAGAACAAATAATAAAACGTGTCTTAGGTGAACACTGCTATAGATTAATTTTCTTATTGGTTAAATTCGACCCACTAAATTTTGTTTTTATTGTATTTTAAGTTTTACTTAATATCTGAAAATATTTTAGAATTACTTCCAGACACCAAAGGGTTAACTAATTCATGCGAGCAACCTATGGATGTGGCACTTCTAAAGATAAGATGTCTTAATTTAACAAACTATTGTTTTTACAGGAATCACTGTAAGTGTTATCTGGTAGGTATACTGTACTTGTACTGTACATTGTACATCATGAGACTCTAACATTGTTTCATTGGTTACAGTATTAATCAATACAAACAATATAATCTCCACGTGTCTTTGAGTCGCACACTCCTCTCAATGAATATGGAAACACAGATGGGCTACATGAATGTCATGAATTTTGAACTTTTAACGTATGTGTGACTTTGAGTGAATCTAGTACATAGTCTTACCCTTTAAGTTCCCTTATATTTATCAAGATCATCGCAATATAGATATTGACAATAGTATTTTCAAACAATGTCATAAGAAAGGATTTTATAGCATTTCAGAATTCATCTTTGCAGAACCAAAATCCACTTATAATTTTTATTTGTGATATGATTAGAATAAGCCGTATCGAGTCTTCACTTTTTTCCATATACAGAGTAGGTCAAAAAGAGGACAATTAATACATGGACTATCATTAAAACACTAACATTGTTATGCAGAAATGATATACTATATATGATCTTGCTATTTATTGCATCTTTCATCTATCTCGTACAACCAGAGAAAACGGGTGGATTGCACTGCCATCTTTTAATAAACATTCTTTCTATAATGTGCATCCTATACCCTGTTCCTTAAATCATGGGCGCCAACTGTATTAAGTAAATCTGAGTTATCGAACGGTATATTATCAAGCATACAGAGTATGAGGGTCATTGTATCCTTCATTGATCGATATAAAACATAAACAGGTACATAGCCATAATCTATCAATAGCGTACCTCTATACAGAGTAAACACATTCGATGGAGCAACAATGAGGATTCTATATGGCTTATATGGATTCTATAGCTGCATGGGACTAAGTCAAGAGTGAAAATGTAGAGCGTTGCCTTCATATAAATACTGAATATGGCAATTGTAATCGACAGTAATTCGTTGGTGGATTTGCTGGACCTTTCGGAACAGAAGAACAGATTATCATGTGCCTTTTTGAGTTGACATACAGTCTGAGATTTTTTGTATTTTACACTAAAAACATAGTCTATTTACCCAACTGACAACCATGGTACTTAGCGTTAGTGTATCGATAGGGTGAGGGTGACTCTGATAGAAGATTCGTATACAGGTATAGCAAGTGAAATCCTACCAGTATAGGCCTACATGTAGATGAGTAGCCAGTCTCATAAAGTCTTCACATAGGAGTTAAAACCTCCGAAAGGTTACCGGTTAATCTTGGTACCGTTGGAAAGCTTAACATCTAGTCTAGTACTATTCGCTCGATAGATAATGCTACAACAATAGAATATCAATACACGTTAAAGTGAGTTAAGAAATTGAGAATGCCGAAACGCAAGGTTGTGTCTCACGCTCGGCAGCGCCTCGCTGAAAGGAAAGCGATCAGGGATGAGATGACGGGTGCCGGGAGGAGGCGAGAGGCCAATGCAAGGAAACAGGAGGCTCGGGCGGTTCAGGTCCAAAAGAGAGCAGATACACAAGCGGCAAAAGCCCGACAAACCGAAGCTAGGCGTGCTGCTAGGCGTGCTGCCAGACCAACAAATGTAGTTGTGCGTCCCACAAGATACGTCACTGTGACAAGACACATACCAAGCTCAGCCCAAAGTGGTGCCTGTTACATACCAAGTTCAGCCCAAGACGGTGCTACTAACAGTGTAAATGGTTCTGGTGCATCTGTCGACAGAAGGCCGGGTGGACCTGTGTCGACCGACAGTACATCAGAAAAGCGTACGTATATCAAGAGGAAGGCATTTCTCAGACTCTGTGTCTTCCTTCTAGTATTGTTCCTGATAGCTCTAACAGGCATAGCACTGACAACTGTAGGAGTGGTGAAAGACGGCATGGCCCTTACTGTGATCGGCCCCTTGCTTCTCATAATAGGGATAGGGGCATTGGTAGCAGTTGGAATACTATTTTACTATAAGTCTCGTAAAACTGGCTTCTTTTCTCCATCCGATATAACAGAACCTACCAATCCAAGTATAAGGTCTACCTCGATTGATATTAACTCCCCGCCAACCAGAACAACAGCTAAAATTTCTTTTATACCTGCTAGCAAAGATAAACCAGATAACCCTACAGCATCGGGTGGATCGGCCGATCCCTCCAAACCTCCACCGGGAGGTGAAAAACATGTTGCTGAAACAGTGTCCAATCTTGCTCCTACTGCTGAATCATCTCCACCAAACTCTAATGAACGTCAAGATGGCTTTGCTAGTGCCACTGCGCCACCTAGTAATATTGCCACTGCCCCATCCAGTTCTTCGCTACCACCACCCCCATACACCACTGTGAGCGAAATGCCGGAAAGGTCTAACACGCATCAAGCTCCACACGACCGAAGAGACAGTAGAGAGGATATAGATGTGACAAACTTACCTCCGTCTTATAGCGAAGCCATATCTCGTAAATCAGACGTGTGACAACGATCAAATGTGCAATGCTTGATTTTTTGGTCCGCCACGTGCTCAACTTTTCATTTATAGGCCGACACAAATATAGGTTATTATAGGTTCTCTAATGAAAGTTCATGAATTCCAATTAATTCAACTTTCATGCATTGGAGACCCTTTGATCGGTTAATATAAATGATGTTGCAGTGTCAGTTATAAAGGAAATAAAGTACTATATTTATTTATATTATCATTATGTCTAGATCCATATGATGATTCTATATGTATGAGATCTCTTACGTCCGATCCATTGAGGAGATCGCGTTCAAATTAGAGATCTAGATTGGGAGATTATTCTCACTTCTATTTTGTACTCATATTCACAGAATAAGTAATAGAACTAATAGAAATAGAAGTAGATAAATAAATAATAAGATGAATAAATTGATAAATATATCAATAAAAAATAAATAAATAGATATATATAGAGAAAAATGAATAGATAAAATAGGTAATCAAATAGATAATTAAATAGATCAATAAACAGATAAATAATTAATTTATGGATCAATAAATATATACATGGATTGATTTTTCAATATCTTCTTCGATTCTTTTGACCTTCTACCAGGTTACCATCATATTGTTTTTTTCGAAATTTTAAAATGGCGTATAATCTAAACCGGTAGTTTGATTTCAATTCGTTTTTCAGATTTGGAATGCTGAGAGAATTTACCATTATTTTGACTCCTCAAACAATAAATTTGAAGATTTTTTGTTGACCTCCTTTCTGGACATTATATTTCAAAACTAGGTCAAAATACCTTTTGACGGCAAAAGGCTAACACTATAAGCATACTCTTGGCTATCTGTATACCAAATTTCAAAAAGAAATATTTAAGTGTAGTGTCAGGGTTGTAAAAACAAGGAAAATCATAGATTTGACCTAGTTTTTTACCTTGGCATTCAAGTGTCCAAATTTTGAATTTGGTTAGCTTTATTGGTCCTCTAAATATTGTAGTTCATCTCTAATTTTATTTGAATCTAGTCTGTATCTGGTATTTTTCAAATCATGTATTTTCCCGTTGACTTAACATAGGGATATCGTCATATCGGTTTTTCGATATTTCAAAACGCAATAACTTCTGAACCGGAAGTTGGATTGAAATTTGGTTTGCAGATTCTGATTTCTGAGAAAATTTTACCCTTAATCCATTACTCAAACGTTAAATTTAGAGAATTTTATATTTTGAGTAGCCTTCGAGGACCCCTTCTTTCATAACCTTTCATTATGTTAAGTTGTACTCAGTTTATATCTCGTATTTTACACTTTAAAAAAATTCTATCCTTAATTCTTAACTCATAGATTGAATTTGTAGAACTTTTTATTTTGACCTACTTTTCGGACACCATATCTCAAAAGTGGGTCAAAATACTTGCTGACGGCAAAAGGCTAACACTATTAGCACTCTCTTTGCTATACGTATGTACAATTTCGAAGAATATAATTAAAGTGTAGTGTCAGAATCGCAAAAATAAGGAAAAACTTTGAATTTGACCTAGATGTTGACCTAGGCCCTGGACTGGATTTTGACCTAGACTTGACTTGGACCTGGACAAACACTGGACTTGGACCTGGACTGGACCTTGACTTGGACCTGGAAATGGACTGGACTGGTATTTTTTCAATTTTTCTTCACTTTTCTTGACTTTCTACAAGGTTGTCATCAGATCGGTTTTTCTCGAAATTTCAAAACGCCATAACTTTCGAACCGGAAGTCGGATCGAAATTTGGTTTGCTGATTCGGATTCCTGAGAAAATTCTATTCTTAATTCATAACTCATGTAAAATTTGGAGAATTTTTTATTTTGACCTACTTTCTGGACGCCATATTTCAAAATCAGAAAGAGTAATCAAAAAACGGATGGCATATTTATGAAAGGGCTGTTTCTGAGCTACATGATGAAAAAAAGATGAAGACGTTTCGATAAATAACGACGAAGATAATAGACAGAATGTTGAAAATGTAAGATTTGACCTAGTTCTTGAACTTTGACCTAGATAAAAAATTGACCCAATTTCCGAGGAACAAAGTATTGGACCTAAATTGACCATATATAACTTGACTCAATGTCTTCTAGTTACATCCATTACAAATCTTGCAAATGGAGCCGGTTGAACCACGTGTTAATCTGCATAATGTTTGGCTACATTCACAAATTCATTTTTGTCGTACACTTCCGATCTAAATAGACTTCAACACACTCTCGGGGCCACTCTTCAATACGGTGGTCTTCGACTTGCCAATCTCATAGGGCGGGGAGTGTACTTAGTACCTTTTGTTATCTAGTTTAACTTAATTTAGTAACTATGCTCATATTTTTTTATTTACTATGAACTTCTGATAAGGTCAATAGTCATGGATGAATGCATACACGTGCCTTCTGCAACGATATTGTTCACATTCATTAGTGGTAACCAAAATACGAACGATGTTCATTTACGAGTTTAAAGAATATATTTACTATTCTAATAACTCAGTAGTTTTAACAATGTATTTACTATTGTAAACAGATTTATGATGACGAATACAAGTTCTGTGGTGATGAGTTGCTGGCGATGAAGACTTCGAACCTGACGCTTGATCTCAACAATCTTGGTAAATATTCCTTAAACCTGGTAACAAGTACATGCACATATGTCCGAAACAGTTTACGACAATCTGAGCTGAATGTTTTCACAGACCATCAATATGATACGACGCATACTAGATAGTAATAATAGGAAAGTTAAGTTTAAACTGTTTATGGTCCCCTATTGAATATTCTCACATCACGAGGCTTTATTTTTCCGAGTGAATATGAGGATGTGAGAAAAAAGTTGTTTAAACCAATTGAGAGGTGGACAATAATTCCTGGAGGGTCGTAATTTTATGTGTTTACGCTTTTACTTCCAAATTCTCACAAAAAACAGTCAAGCCAAGTAACTTAGTCAACATTCGATATTCGTATGTTCATCAATATTAACTAAGAATGGTGCCACAATTGAAGTAAAGCTCTGTTAAATTATTTTCAATAAACCTTTCAGCAAACGTGTAAATGATTATTTTGATGTTCTGTTACATATTGGTGAAGCAATCTTGGGGATATGGCCTAAATTTCTGGATTTCCACTATGTCCCTGTATACCCCTACTTCAGAAGATGTATGTTATTCGTCATTTTTTCATTATGAATCAACCATAAATGTATTTTTTCTTGTTTACATACAGAATGAACTTTCTGTTTTCAAATATTGAAAGATGGTACTGCATTTATTTTTTCATGATATGGAACAAACAAATGCGTGTCAATTTATACTGTAATATCCTACATACTTATATTTCAAGAGTAGTTTTGAAGAATAATCAAGAAAATCCATGTTTTCAAATGAATTCATCCTTGTCAAAGAACGTTAATGAGGATATGTGGTTTGAAAAACTAACAACATGTTTTAAGTTCTTACAATTCTTGGTTGAAACAAATATTTCGAAAGTTGTGATTTCGAATGTAATATCCAACTCAATGAAATTTGTTGATATTTGTGAATTTTTTCTTTCGGAATGCACTTTGCTGGATCATAGAACCTTGCCTCGTTCGTGATGCATGAAAAGTGTATTGTCAATACTTGACGTCGTTTGGATATTTGGATGTGATTGACGTTTTCGTTAATCTCCAACCACTGTCACTTCCAACTTAATTTTTGAAAGCCAAATATGATAGTCACGAATTGATATTTAAGTCACACGTTGATGCATACATCATGTGTGTACATTAACGGTCGAATACATGCCGACTTATATTTTATATAAATATCCCAAGTTATCTCAAATCATCAATTTTCAAAACGGTTTATCATATAACCTGGTGAGTTTAATGTTTCCTTTTAATTTATAATTATGGTATCGGATTTGAGTATGATATTAGTCGAGGTTTAAACAAAGCAATAAAACTGCGTGAAACCTTTTTTGAAGATTCGAACGATTTTTTCAAGAATCCTCCTTCAAAGTGTTACCACAGTGCTCCCCGGGAGTGGAAATTTCGTCTTGTGTAATCAAAGTAATAGCGGGTGGTTTGAATTTTTTGTTTGAGTTTATAGCTCAGCATCTGTAAATTTAAAAACATGTCGCCTCATTGAGAGGTACATGCAGATTTTGGCGATCTATCATAATAAAAGGCTACATTTTGTGCAAAAACAGGAGTTGACACGCTTACATTTGGAATTTCCTACATAATTGTCGACTCATGTTTAAAAGTCATGAAACAAGCTTGAGCACAAAGCAAGTTACTAGTTACTGTCTATTTAGCATGTGATCACTAAGGGAAATATTATCAATAACTTAAATCGTCAACGGTTAAGTTGTATTCCAAGAAACTTATCAATTTAGAAATGCAAAATGTTCAATTTTTGTTAAGGAGCGGTATATATTAACGTACTTTTATCATCCCGAACTCAAATATTTTGGAATACTTATTTGAGAACGCTTTGTTGAGAATGGATTCGAGATGTACTCAAAATTAATACGTAAAAATGTGTATTATCATCTTAATAACCACCTCACAAATTATTTTTGAAATCAAAGATGTACGATTTTTGAGATTTTTATTTTCGAATGTTGACTTAGTTACTCGACTTGACTGAAAAGCGTAATATTTAACTTATCTATATAGTTGCATATATTATCTTGAAGCTTCTCAGCTATATTCCCGAAAATGATTTTTAGTTCAAATTTTCCAGCTCTTGTGTTTGATTTAAAGTTTCAATATCGGAAAACTCACCTTAGTATTTGCGAACAAGAGTCTGGAAACATGTTTTACCTAAGAACAGTCAGAAAACTTCACCTTTAATTTATGCAATTAGTTGAAATTGCAATCACTTATGTAGGCCTATGGTATTTTGTATTGTATATATATTTACAGAGAACGACAAGAAAATGTTGAGGATGATCAGAACTTTCCAAGAGAACCTCGGAAATGAAATCTATAAAATAAAGGACGAGGAACAAAAATTCCACCAAGACCTCGGAGAGTTCATACTCATCATAAAACGCAATATGCCGGCCAATATGACTGATATTAAATCACTGAGTGGTTTCAAAAGCTACCTGAAGGAGATAAAGGGAAAACCTAACACCAAGATGGTGGTATTTGAAGCGTACATGTCCCTTCTGGAACGCCTTGGTGACATTCTGTCTGATATAGAAAGAGGTCGTGCTGTGAAATGCAAAATAACCTTAAAATGGACAATAACCTGACAAAACTTCAACCTCTCGAGTGGAAGAAGAAGATAGTCGCACGTGACCATAAACTAGTGCTCGGATTGGTCAGTCTTGTTCCATTGACAGTTGATGGGATTTCAGAGATTGATCAAAGTATTGATAAATATTTTTCTGGTATAAAGCCTGGAGTAAAATTATAATTAGAATTTATGTACGATTCATATACATCTAATAATAAACCTGAGTAACAATAAAATAACTGAAAATATAAAATCTAAGGATATAATGCGTTATTTATTAGATTCTAGAAGTTACATAGTGTATATCTTAAGCATTTCTTGCAGTAAATATTTAAAAAATTTGGACAAATCGCATTCGTGAGTCTGCTACAGATTACTATAACTGATTGTTAAAATGGCAAGCTATTTATGGCAATGATACAATGATTTCTAAAACTACATTCTTGAATAATAAGGTTTCCTTAAAATCGAATCACGTCCATGTATTCATACGAGGGATAATAAATAAATGAATGAACGGACTTTATCATCGATCAATTTCTTTGAAGGTCTCATTGTATTACATCAATTGACCTATCATGCCCCTCGTTTTGTTCGAATTATGCGAGGAATTCATAATTAATTATAGTGATATAATTTCTAAAACTACATTTTAGAATAATATTGTTTCCTTAGAATCAAATCATGATGTGTTCTTGTTTTCATAAGAGGGGTAAAAAGACACGCATCATTTTCTTCTAAATTAATAATTATACATGTACTCGTATTGTACAAAGGCTCAAATTTGTTTATAAACTTAAGAAATAATTACAAAATTAAATCAGCCGACTGTATTTCACTGATTCTAATTTCATATCACTTGTTTCTGGCAAATTTTGAATAAGAGCAAGTGGCAATTATTTCAACTTTGCGCAGAACAGGTAAATCTCTAATGTTCTTTAATGTCATTGTTTCTTGTTTACATGTTAAGTGTCCACTCTGGGATTCACTAGTGTTTACTTTTTGCCCCAACTCCAGACGCACCTGAACCCACAGTAGTACCTGTACCTCCATGGGCAGCACCCCAACCGAACGTTACAGATCCAACCACATCGGTACCCTCGTTTAAATCGTGTCGATCCTATAATATAGTTTAGCACATTTGTTTTTATATGATTTATATGTGCGATGTGTATCATGAGGACTTATCCATCAAGACACCAAGATAACTAAATCCAGTCCTGCTTCAAGTAATACCAAAGTTAATTCTACAACTAGCCTTGGGAACCTTTTTTCTCATTACAATTGAGACGTACGTGTATAATATGCATATTCCCAAATTCCGACTCACGCATACCGTTTTATTTATATTCTTTTGTCTTTTCTGTTATAAAGATTATTATTTTTATAGACATACATTACTATTTAGACTATTCAGACGTTCATAAACAGATAATATGATAATATACAATTAGGTATACTCAAATAACATACTTTTTGAGATATCAGTATTCATATGCTCATTAATCAATTCCTCACGAACAGGCACGAGCCAATGCAGAGGTAACTCGTCGCAAGCTTCGCGTATCGCATCGGACAGGAAACCTCGCTCAGCAACGGGCTCCTCAGCTGGCATCAACCGGGGGATACTTGAGTCGTTCTTTGGTTGCTCAATATCAAATGTCCCGTCCTTCAAATGAAGACTCAAATTGAGGTAGGCTATACGAACAACTTCAAGTGATAAGTTTCAATGTTTTATCAATCAAATAATTACCCTATGTGTCATTCACTACATGTAGTAATTTATTCCTTTTTTAAGAATCAAAATGTAGCTGTTGGAGGGTAGCATACATTATTTTTCATGATTTAAAATTGGCAAGACAAAAGTAGTTTAAAAAGAACAAGCGTCAGTATTCATATCTTGAGATAATTGTCTTTTTCGTGCAGAAAGGATCTTACCGGATGTGCCTCCATGTAGCTCTCAACAGCCTCTGGACTCATCTCTTCTTTGTCGATAGTGCTGAGGAAGCACCCATAGATATTACCTATACGGGTCCGCATAACTGTTACTCCCTGTAGAAGTCCAAAATTAATTACTATACTTCGTTTTCAAAAATTATTATTTCTAATAAATCGAATAGCATATGGGTCTGCAATTACTTGTTTCGCTATTTCCAATAAAATACATTTTGGCTGTCAATAGCTTGCACTTTCTCTTTATTGTAGAAAGACCTAACATATGCACTTCTCAGAAGAATGCGTAAGTTTGAAGAAGCTACACAGAGAGTCGTTTTGATTATCACGTATTACATGTACTTGTAATCACAGTGCGCAAATTCTTCATTTTCTTGAGCAGCAGCAACTATGGACAGATTTAAAACTATGTATTAATTATCGAATTCCTTACCTTGTTGAAATCGTGTAAGACAAAGGACTGTTGTTTGGAGTCATCGATCTCTGTGGTTCTTTTCTCCTTATCCACCTTGACCGTTTCGGCGCTTTCCCCGTCCTTTCCACCTTTCACAATGACAGAGTACTCCTGTGGTATTTAAAAATAGACATTCAATCATTTAATACATTTTTTCAAATTTTTTTTTCAAAACTTTTTTTCACATTTTTTTAAAAAATTTGTCATTTTTTCACTTTTTTCAAATTTTTTTTTCAAAATTATTTTTCACATTTTCTTTCAATTCTTTTAAAAATTTATTTTTTTCAAATTTTTTTGAAAATCTCGCAAACTTTTAGACCAAGAAAACGCCTAGTACCATAAGTATGTTTTGGAATTTTGGATCTTAATAAGGTATGATGTACCTAAAACCTCAGTAGGTATGAAATACATCTGTTATGTACGGTCAGTTTTGGATACAGAGTTTATCCCGCGGGAAATATGTGTATCTCCCTCGGTCCCTGCGGTCCCTCGGGAGATACACATATTTCCCTTGGGATAAACCCTGTATCCAAAACCTCCCAGTACATAACCCTTATATTATGTATACATACGTACAGTTCGTGTGCCAAAGATGGTACGCCTCAAGACGGGATTGGATTTTGAAATATTTTTCTATGATTATACTCAAATAGAAGATGTTTTAGAGTAGATGTCAGAATATTGCATCCTCATGCTGATGAGTGAATCCAAAATAGCCACCTTAGTGTATGAATTCGCAAGTAAGTTTATTTTTAGATATCTTTAATATTATATTCAAATACTTGGCTCAATGCAATACCAGATTGTACTCAATGGTTGTACAATGGATAACATATTTTACTAAAATTACCTTTTTACTTCAGATAAAATAAAATAAAATACCCTTATTAAATCTTCATGTGTTTCTCTAATCATGTGCATAGCACCGACGAGAGAGCCTACTACGATCAGCACAACCAGGACAACTGACACGCCCACTATGGCATACTTCTTTGTATTTGTTTTGACAGGCGAAGGTGCCGGCATCTGTGAGGGAAAAATCACAAAGGATAAAGTTAATACAAACATATAAACAGATAAGCCCCGCAGACACGTCTTATTATGTCTCTGCTGTTCCAATATTGTTTCATCGAAACAAGGATCAACAAAAGGGATACAAAGAGTCTTGGCAATTATCCAAACTCCATAACGAATGTAATTTTGATACTTCTTTTCACAGTCATTAAGTTAAATTATTAATTTTAAATGATTGATAATTTATAATATTTCTTTTGATAATTCATAATATTTTCTTTGTAAACATTAAGCAAGAATTAGAGTGAGGTATTTTCCTAATACCTTTTCATCTGTAAAATATATTCACATTGACTTGACTGGAGAAATTTCCCAATACATGTGTACTCGGAACTTACATGTTCTGTGGCGAAGTTCTTTTCGGTATCACCTGCAGCCGCTTCTTTACCAACAATGGAAATATCTGGCTTCATCTTTTTAGCTGAGTCGAGTTATTTGATGAAACAATTAATTGGTTTGCGAGTTGAAATATTACTAGTTTGTGTTTCGAGGAATAAGGCGCGCACTGCTAGGTCTCAACCCAGGGGCTACTTTTATATCCCTGGGCATTACGCCCAAGCTTTGTCGCTTTCATTTACGATTGGTTGTTACAAAACGTGTAGCAACCAATCGAAAAGGAAAAACAAGGAAGTAACCTTGAGGTTCTGAGAAATTAACTTTTCATTATTTTAATATTACAATGACTATGAAAAGAATAGGTACTTGACTTGACAACAAGGTAACCTTACAGTTCCAAAAATCGTTTATTACCCTGGTGTCATTGTACCTGTATTAGCGTTCGTGTTATTTTTGACAATATTTATACACGTTAGTCTAGTTATTCCCTTGACAGGCTTCTTGTCACATATTTATTTGTATTTGATTACTTTGATGGCGTGATCAGTATGCTCCAGACATTGTTGAAACACATTTTGTGAATGACAATGCTTACCATAATTAGGTAATTATGCCTTTATATTACGTAATTACTACAAAATAATTAGCAAAGACCATAAAACAATAGCTCTCTTGTCATGTATGGGTGGCTACAGTGCTCAATCTTTTAATTAAAGGTAACCTAGACTATATCCTTTACAAAAGTACTGAGATATGTATGAGGGCCATTATACATAAAGCTTAAAAATAACAAAGAAACATATGATGATATTAAAATGTTAAAAATTCAATTTAATCATCATTAAAGTATCATAATGTTTGCACAACTTGTTTTGATCTGACATTGTTGATTTGTGTTCATGAGATTATATAAAAGAAAGCAGGATATTCTCGTGTATGAGAATTAGTTATTTAAAAAGATTAAAATCTATTACTTGGGATATTAATCACTTGTATTACGCAACAAGTAATGAATAGTACATATATAATATTAGTGATGGCCAGGAAGAAAAGTTCTGTTTTATTGTAAATGTAATCATAGAAACTAAAACCAGTAAGCCATCAATTACAAAACTATTTTTTGGAGTATGTTGTGTTTCACATCATTATAAAGTGAACATGTAGAAAAAATGATAATGAATCACTTGTAATTTAATTTTGAAATATACAGCATATCTTCTCGAATGTACATTTCTCATGTTCGTGCATAAATCATTATATTAAACAAGATACATTTTCTGCATATGTATGATATAACTGAAATATTTTAAGACTTATTCAAAACGCTAATTTAATAATAAACACTTTATATTATGTAATCAGAATGAAATTAAGAAAATGCTATACCATAATTCCATATGGATGTTAGAGTCATAATATAACATTTTCTTTGAATGTTGAGAGATTCTTTTAATTGTCACTTCAATCAATTTGAATGTCAATCAGATTATCAATTGTCAATGTGTGCAAAAATTGTAACAATTGCCCCTCTGTGATGCTTGGATTTTTGCAATTATTGTTACTAATACTATGGCATTGACAATACTCAGTACATTGTATCGCAGACTGTCTGCATGGGCATCTAGCGGTAGCACACTTCATGCTATTCCATTCCTTAAGGTCAGGGTGTATGATGGGAATTTTTCTGCATTCCTCAATTGAGTCACATGTTATTTTTCAAACAAGAATCACTCCTTCCCCACATTGTCTATATCTTCCAGTTTTGCACAAAGATTGCACTTATGTGCCTAGAAAAGATTTATGATAAGAATGTTTTGATAAAATGTATAAAAAACAAGAAAATTCAGTGACAAAATTTAGAAAATTTTCAGAAATTTTTTTCACTGAATTTTTTCGTTTTTTATACATTTTACAAAACAAATCTTCTCACAACTCTTTTCTAGGCACATAAGTGCACTCTTTGTGCAAAACTGGAAGAGAAGAGTGTATTATTTTTCAAACCCATATGCTGTCGGGCAGATGGCTGTTCTTGGCTCGTCAAGGAGATGCTTTTGTAACAGAACAGAAAAGCATGCCCTATCTGGGCTTTCAGTGATCTACTTGTGGGGGAAAGGTTGTCTAATGTTGCCCCACTTACATTGATGATATTGCCAATATCTAAGTTCATCCATTGTCTTCGAGGCAGAAGCTGGTTTTAAAACTGACACTAAAAACTGCTCAGCTCCCTGGTAGCTTAGCTCTTGCAAAGGGACATCTTGGTTGTCACCAAATCCAACGAGCAGATTCGGATCAGCTTTGACTGCTGCTGATTTGGTTCCTACTTTGTAATATCAGAGCCTGTCAGGGCATGGAGTACTGGTAAAGTGTCACATACTAGTTTTGCCAAGGTGTGTATTGGAATATATCTTGATGTATTTCCTGTACCACCTTTCATCCATAACTCAGTTACTCTGAGGCTCTTCCAGTAATACATCAAGAGAACAAATACATCTGTGTCAGGTGATAGCACAACAAGTCGCTTGAAGTCATTCACTGCACAATCCATTGAGTGGGGAATTAACCTATGGTGTGCCTCCTCAAGATCTCCATCTAGCTGTGGCAAATATGTAGAGGAAAGGCTCTGACAGGGCAGTGGACTTTCACCAGATGTGCCACTGAGAACAAATTCTGTGCCTGGGTGTGATCTTGCATACTTCTCAACATGTTGCCTTGATAATACCTGAAGTTGATTTGTTGTTTCCACTTGGTCAAAAGTGTACCATGTTCACAGGAATTGGTGTTGAGATACAGATGGTAAGTAAATCAATGGGCTGAGCTGTGTTCTTGCGTTGATGTTCACTATCTTTGACAGTACCTTCTTTGTAAGTGTCAAAATCATAATCAATTTGTTTCGCATTTGAGGCAATGATTAGGACTGAGTTATTACACCATCACACAACCCCCCCCCCAAAGGAGGCTATCTTTGAGGTGGAAACCTTCCTCATGTATGCCATGACATCTAGCAGATAAGCTGTGTCATCTATACCTACTGCACCTCTTGGTTCCTTGTAGTTATAGTCATTCTGATTGAGATGTATTTCTCCAATTCCTTTGTCAAAATGTGTTTCTCTGGCTTTGTCATCAAACCACTATCATCAAAGAGGTAGCTATTTTCAATGATATCAAACGTAAATAGCTTTTTGCATGTTGTATTTTCGCATTCTTGCAAGATCTATTGTTTTGTCACCTTTGAAATTGTCTATATTTCTTTTCTTCTGGCCTTTTGGTGTACTACTACTTGACTTTTGGGCAGAGGTGACATTCTGAAATGTCTTTAGGTTGTGGCGGTGGATGACATCATTTATTTTGGATATTTTCTCTACGAAGACATCTTCTCTCCATTTAGAGGAATGTTCCATGCCAATCTCAAAAATATTCACAATGTCATCTCAGACAGTCTGAGGCATAATCTCTTTTGTGGGGATATTGTGGAGCTTTGACTCGCCAGACTTCTTGAAGGGATTTTCAGCTTCAGTGATGAGCCTTATTATGCTGCTTATGTGGAAGTTCATTGTCTCTGTCTCAATGTTCGTGAATTCATGATGGAGGTGTAGCTCATCATCCATGGGACTAGTTGTGCCAGTTAAGTCTCTGAGAAGCTGTGTCTCACTTAACATTTCATGATAGATGATTTCCCACTCTGCAACGCACTTTTTTCCCTTGTTACTCCAATTATTCCACCAGGAGACTTTTGAGATCTGATGATAGTTTGTTCACGTGCCATATCTGCTGCTACAGCACTAAACTTTCCACTTGATCTCTTAATGACAAAGCCGCCTTTAGGAAATATTCATGGACCTCAGGAGCATCAACTGGAAGTCTTTTCATGTCTTCAAGGTACATAGATGCCCATCTTGTGTAGTTGGTACGATCAAATACCTTGAGAACAGGTAATGCAGCTTCCACCGAGCCAAGATGCAAATTCCAGTCACCAAGTTGCCTGTCACTGCGAATCATATTTTTCAGAATATGAACCATGTTGATGAACGTACTCCAAAACAAAAAGGTCTCACTGTCTTTTTGGCGGGCAACAACAAAGGTATTTAAATATTTTAGCATCTCTTCTGAAGTATTGCTAAACTCAAGCAGGAGAGCATGTGACCTGTCTTCATCTTTCATGGAGGTATTCTCCTTGAGGTGTCGTAACATTTCCACTTCCTTAGAATATATCAGAACTTTGGGCTCCTGAAAGAATTCTGCCTAACGCAGTTTCTCTAGTGCCTCGCAAAAATTGAAGCACTCATTTGTACAATGATAGACAAATCCATCATCATTCTCATTTTGAGACGCTTTGCAACAATGTCATTTCTAATAACATATGCCTCAAGGATACGCTTACGTCCAATAGTTGTTCCAATTAATCCCGTTTTTCCTTTCTTTTGGCAAATAATACACTTTTTTCGATCAAAATCACAGTCAGCTGCATGTGATGATTGGATGTTAATCTCTTTTGAACCATGAGATGATTCCATCCTCTTGGGATAGTAGATTATTTTAAGGTATATCTGGAATAAATATTATTTTAAAATAATATTATATTCGCAGATTTTGAACTTATATCTTAACTATCTTTGTTACTTTGTCGTCTTGCGTGTTTAAATTAACAAGGAATTAAAATTGGATTGTTATTATTAAAATGTGAATATAAAAAGGAAACTTACCAAGCATCATCATTGTACATGTTGACAAGGCTTAATGATTATTCAGGTTCATTTGGAATATTCTATGACCTATAGTACAACTGCTTTCAATGGTGGTGTAAAATTAACATAGATAATTTAACATGGAAGAGATATATCCTACTAATGAGGATTCTTGTAACAATAACATTTATTTAAAGAAATCAGTCTAAAAGCACAATTAGAGTATTTTCGTGTTATATGATGTAAAACAGGTATTTCTGTCGACTTACCAATGTTGGGGCTTAAGACAATTCGTTAACGGTATCAATTCGATAATTGTTCTCAGCCATAATTGCTACTTACATTAGTAGAAATTCGACAAATGTTCGAAATTAAATTGAAATAACCCTCTTCAATGTATTCCGATCTGTGATTGGCTGCCTTGGCTCAATATCTCGGCAACCGATTGTATTTGCCAAGACTGA